CCCACCGCACGGTGCCGGGGAGGGGAAAGGGGTTTTGCCGGAGGAATGTGCCGGAGCGGGATGGCTGCCAGCAGCGCCTGCGTCACCGGAGAGGCTCTCCCGGCTCAACAACGCGATCCTCCCTGTCTTAAGACAAAGGGCTTTTATTCACCGAGAAAGAAAGAAACGACAGAAGTGGGGGATCGCGCAGGCGGAGGAGGGGGCACTCTGTCCTGCCTCCCCAAAAAAACCAAAATCTTCGAACAGCTTCAAAGGAAGAAAGGGCACGTACGCAAGCGCACACCACAGTCCGCCTCGGAGCTCTTACCGTGCCGCAAAAAGCAGCTCCGGCTGAGGATATAATAACCAGAGAAGGGCAGGTCATCCTATTTCAGCGCCTATTTTGAATCGAAAAGATGGGATGGCGGGCAAGGCTCCGAGAGCCAGACGGTGCCCCACGACCGTCAGCATCGCCTTGCACGCACGGAGCATCGTGCAAGGAGCTGACGAGCGGAGGGAAGGAGGGTGCTTCGGGGTTTTTCAGGCTGGAAAGGAGCGTTGGGATGACACCGCTGTCCTGCGCGTCAGGGCAAGGTAGTATTTAGTCCGCGCGCTGCTGAAATGCATAAAAGTCACAATTTAATTCTAAAACATCTGCAAAAATTCCCATTAAAAAAACCCAAACCCCACACTTCTACAAAACGCATTTCCAAAGTGCACTGGAAGAATAATTGAATTGTTCTCTACCACATCAATTATTTTATATCATGTATTTTATAACACGCATTATCATATACGACCTAAACATATGATGATATAAAGTACGTAACACCTATGATATAATATCTATGGGAGTGACAGCGGAGGGTGATTTGACAAAGGTAAAGCAGCTCTGAAGAGACTGTAATTTCTTCTCGTAATACCATTTGATGGATGTGCTTAGCAGGAAGGCTTCAGCGTCTGTGCAATACAAGTTTAATTTTGTTCTCTGTAACCAACGAGGCCAAGAAAAAAAAAAAAAAGCCCTTCTGTTCCTGGGGCCTGGAGTATGAGCGTTGCATTAAAAAGAAGACATTCATTCACATCTGAAAGGAATTGCCATTTGGCCCGTTTGAATCAGTGCAATAAAATGAAATGTCAAATAAGCGAGGAGATTAACGAGGGGAAAAGCCAAAATACTGTTTTGCGAGAGCAATACATGGCAGGATAGGCTTGGAAGAGAGCTGAACGGCAAGGGACAGGCTAACCGCAGGGAGGCTGTCCTTACTTGAATGCCTCGTAATAGCTATTTTTGAGTATTAAACCCTCTGTGCCCGATGGGACACAAGGGCTTTAAAGCCTTTGCGCAGTGTGCGCGAGAAAGGCAGCCTCCCGACAGCCCCCCACCCCTCCCTGCTCGTTTTTGGGATGGCGCAGGAGACCCCCGGCCCCACGGGACAGTGCCCAGCCCGCGCTGGCCGCGACGCCAAGGCAGCTTTAAGCCAAACCCGGTGCCGTCCATCGCCCGGCCGCGGGCACTGCTTGTGTAGGAAAACCCCTGTTTAAACAATATTATTGCTGCTAGTTAACAAGAGGGCAAGAACAGTGATGAAAAAGGAGTAGGTTTTTTTTTTTAGCATTAAATACAGCTCGAGGAGGAGGTCATACCTATTTTTAAGGGGTATCTCACCACCTGAACCGACCTGCATCCCGCGGTGGCAGGAGGGACCTCACCCAGAAACCTCCTCCTCCTCCTCCTCTTCATCATCCGCTCCGGTGCTGCTCGGGGAGGCTCTGCACAGACCTAGTGCCCTGAACAGTGTTTTTCACATAGTTTCCCAAGAAAGCGTTACCTGTTCCTCTCCTTTTGCCCAGGAAAATGGTATTTTGGAGCCAGGTCAGATGATGAACTGGGTGACAGACCCCCAGCGAGCGCTGGCCCTTGCCTTTGGCCGAGGTGAGGGTCTCCGTCCTGTCCTGCTCAAGATGTGCACAGTTTATAAAGTTTCTATATCCAGTTTATATAAGTTTCCTTTTTTATAAGTATACAATTATCCAGTTGAATCAATAAGTGATTTCCTTTTTATGTTGAAAACTCAATTTTAAGGTTGGTGGGTTTTTTGGTCTTTTTATTGTCTAAACTACTTAGTAAGTAATGCAAAACCAAAGTAAGAGTTTATCTTTTTTTTTTTATTAAGACAATCCCACAGCTGGAAAATGAAACATCCTAGATTACATAAGTGACTTCAAAAAAACTCTAGAAAAAAATCTTTACAAATTTACATTTGTACAATACAAAAACTAACAGCTCATTGCATATAAATATTACATTTGGTCTGCCAACAAGTGGCATCAAAATCCCTGAAGTATTCATTTAAAGGGACCTGAGATAGCGGATGTGAAGATATGGGCATAAATATCACCTGAAAAAAAAAAATCAATATATAAAGTAGACATAATTCTAATAGTTTTGTGCATTTTTGGAGTATTTTTAAATCATCCAGAACACGAACTGTAGAGCCTAAATCACGTGAATTTCATCGCTCTGACATCAACTGGTGTTTCTAAATGAAGTCTGCTATAATGACTCATGGAGGAATGAATAGCCTGTATTAGTATTTCTACAGAAAAATAATCATCAGACTTTGATTTCTGAATATATCCAAGCAGCCACCACTGTCTGACGAGGCCTTTTTAGGAAGAGAAACGGAGGCTTTTGATTTTATCTGCCAAAGAGCGGTGCAGCCGCGAGGCAGGCGGGAACACCAACCCCTCCTGCGAATATTCAGGCAGGACCTCGGCTCCCCCGGCCCCCGGAGCAGCTCCTCTCGCCACCCTGTCTGCTTCTCACAGACCCAGAGATCGGGAAGATATGCAGTGCTTGCCAATTAAAAAAAACCCCAAACTGAGAAACTGCTCTTAATTGTTCACCGGTTTAAATATTTTCCAAATATTTACATGTTTGTCAATTCCCAGATCTGGCTGCGGTTATCTACCGGGAGTACTAACTCACAAGTGCAGCACTAAGCCGCTCGGTTTCACTTTAAATTCTCACAAACTCTTATCAGGTACCCACATCCATGCACATAAATGTATTTAAGCACCATTTTTATAATACTAGAGTTAAGGCTGTGACAGCAATTCCACTGGAAATCTAATTTTTCAGGGATTCATAGCACAGTTGTGTAAGTTTGCTGTGGGCTGAACATGACATATTAAAAATGTACAAGCTTCCAACAGGTCTTTGCATCTCTAATACTAAAAAAGACAACTTTTAGACTAAATTTTGCAGGCTGTTACTTACTGTACATAAAGGAGTTTTTTTTCTTCAATGTGTAAACCTCTGATATACTAATATTTGAAAATTATCTATCGCACATGCGCAGTAATTTTCTATAATACATACTTGTAAGAACACAATGACAGCTCCCTACAATACTAAATATAGATTTATCCTTGGATTGTTAACTGCTCCTTCAGTCTATCATGTAAATAATTAGCATTTTATAAAACTTTGCATGATGGTTTTAAAAAAAATAAAATCAAGAAATGTAAACACACAAATACATTTTTTAAAACATTGAATTCATGACACAGACCAATGATAGCAGGACACTCCAAGTCAGGGCTGACAAGACATCCTTAAACCTACAGCTATTCAGTTTTCCCTGTCATTCACTGCTCAGATTAAAGATGAAATATTAACCAAGTTCTTACCCAAATTCAGTAATTTAAACTTGTTTTCTCAGGTTAATACTGTGTGATTTTGACCGGTTGTCAGAAACATTCCAGAGACACCCAGGAGCAGCCTTTTCAAATGCTTGACAAGGTTCGTCTTGCTTTTTGCAGTCAAGAGAGCCTCCAAACATTGTCAAAAGCAATACATTGTAGTTGGGTCCCTCCACATTTTTTAAATTACTTGAAAACTCTCTTTACTATGCACCTGGTGTCAGTTCTTTTCAGTGCTCTATGTACTACACAGTCTTTCCGCTTTTGTGCGGAAGAAGCAGCCGAGGTGTACATTTAGGAAAACATTCAGGGAAAATTGAAATAACGCGACGGGACGCAAAATTTTAAGCAGCCAAAAATCCTCCACAAATTATTTCTCCATCATTATATTTAGCTTGCTTATCTGCAGGGTGGGGCTGACTGGGTTAAGTGGGGTGGCCTCTGCTTAGTTTATGGAGAAAGGAGTGATAGAAAGCTAGAGAGGAGTGATAAAACTACCCAGACCCATCTAAGTTCAAGCACCAACATAGAAGTTTCATGGGTTATTTAAAACAGAAATATCTCGTGATGCTGGAAGCACGCAACTTCTACAAGGGTTCCATTAACTGCAATTCACGTAGCAAGGGGGAAAAAAAAAAAAAAAAAAAAAGGAGTAATTCAGTAGACACGGAGCACACGTGTTAAGGGATACCAGGTGGAACTAAGCGTTGTTTTACGCAGCCGTGTGTAAGGCAGCACAAAGGGAGCAGTCCCGCTGCCGTGCCTCCCTGCAACCGCCGACATCGGAGCAAGGGAAGGCACGTGCTGCCCCGTCCGATCGGGCAGCGTTTCCACTCGGGGTACGGATGGCCACTGAGGCGCAGAGCAGGCAAGAAGCCAGCCCTCAAACTTTCCATCTTCGTTAAATCCACCTCCGGCAATTTGGGAATGTTGCTAGTAAACCAAGTAAGGCAGATATAAAAAATATGGAAAGTCGTAGGAAAAGAGAGGCATAGAAAGAATTGAATCTTACAGTCTAGCCGAAATAAAATTCATCAAGACATCACAAGTTTCCAAAAGAGCATCATAAATAGCCTACAGGGGCAACCAAGGGAAGCTAAAGAAGAAAGGTGGAGCAGGGCAAAGAAAAACAAAAGGTGACAGAGAAAAGAAAACACCGGCGAAGTTTGGGCTGAACTGAGACAACAGCACATCACTACTGCAAAATAAGCTTCATCATTCACGCCCTGGTCAGGGAAGAAATGGGAGCGCTACAGGGACGGCAGATTTGTAGCCAGGAGAAATCTGAGAACAAAGATGTAGACAACTTTCAGCCCCGTCTCCACGGAGGATGGAGCACTCGGGGCTAACGCTCTGCGGGCGAGGGAAGCCCCTCGGGACGCAAGCCCTGTTTTCCAAGGTGTCTCCAAATGCTCTCAAGCGCCCCGGCAACTCGGGAGAGGGAGCACGCAAGATTGCACATCTAGAGAAAACTTCGAAGCACCCATACCCGAGAATTAATCCGACAGCAGCAGAGGAACCCCTGGCCTGCCTGCGCGCCTCGTTAGCCTTCAGGAATCTGATACGTAATCTGGCCTTCAAACCCTTTTCTTAGGCAGAGTTTTGGAGGTTTTTGTTAAAAGTGCAAGGAGAGAGACTACGGTCCTGACCCTGCAACCCGCCGGGCAGGGCAACCTGCTAGGAGCTCAGCAACCCCAGGAGATGCTGGCTGAGCACCCAGGCTTTGGATCAGGGAGCGAGACAATACAAGGTTTAAATCATTTTACTGCTTCCGCTGCACCTGTTGGGTTAATACTAAGTTTTCTGCAACCGTAAGTGGCTCCTGATAGGATCTGGGTTTTGAGAGAAAGTGTCAAAGTTACTACAAAATCATGATTATTCCACAGAATGAGGCCATGAGAAATCAATTGCCTAACTCAGAGAAAGAATCCAGATACGAAACCAAGTAAAAATAACATCTCTAAAACCAAGTTATTTCGTTCATGCTTATAAAAGGTTCTCATGCACAAAAAAAGCTGCTTTTTTTTTTTTTACAATAAGCAATAGTTCTGTTGTTCTAGCACACCCTGCTGTCTAGCTCTTAATCATGTAACACATGTGATTAATACTTACGCCACAGCAAAGTGATGCTTCACTGTTATCTTCACAGTACTTCATTACATAGAAAAGATACATTTAAGAACATATTTAATATTATTCTAATTGCTGCTAAAATACACAAACTTATAAAATGATTTCTCTGGAATCCACGTGTTTTATCTCTCCCCAACCCCTACACAAAATAAATAAGTAAGTGGATCTTCGGCCAGTCAGAAATATATGAAAAGCATTTCTTTTGCATTTCAAGATTTTCAGGCTTTAGAACAGAAACCATAGTGTTTACATTAGCTCAACAGGACTGATCTAAAAGGGGTATGATTCTGACTATGAACTGATGCACACATGCTATACCTGGTTACCATATGTAGAAGGACCAATCAGTCAAAGAAATAATACATTTCTTATAAATATATATGTGTGTATATATATATACATATTTATGAGAGAGATGATAGGACAGGTGTTTATATTTTAAAGCCCAATAGAGAACTAGGAGAGCCTCTGCACTTTTTTTTCCCCCATCAAAACACAACTGAATCAAGTCCAGAAATGGATTACAGCCGATTCAAAACATTCCTTAAAAAATTAATAGTGTGATTTTTGTACTGTACCATAAACTCATGTTAACGCTCTGAGCAATTTAGGATATACTCTCCTCCATCACAAAACTAAACCTCTGCATTTTTTCAAGTCATTTTGCATCTAACTAGAATTTTTGGAAAGCGAGATAAAATAGCTAGTGCTTAATATAGAAAGTCAAAAATTAAATTCCTTCTGCATCTGAGAATATACATGGGTCACTCTTTGCTGCCTGAGGTTTTCCAGAATTATTGACCAAGCTGTGCACAGAAGAACTTAAGGATATTGAATGAAAGTTTAAAAAAAAAAAATTAATTAAAAAAAAAAATCTGAAAAACTCCACCAAAACTTTCTGGTCTCTTTTTTCGTTTGTTCTCTCTGTGTAATTGAACTCACTCTCTTAACCAAGCTAGAACTGTCAGGTTCGTTCAGACAACGGGAGGAAGTTGAAGTCCCATATATATTCCAGCCAGACCCTACGAAGTAAGAGGCTGCTCATCTCCAGCTCAGCCCACGCCAAACACCTGTTTCTGTTCACCGAGGAGCAAGACTACAAATGTCGTCACATACTGTACTACTACTACCAAAATGATTTCTGTTTTCAAGTTAGCATTTTTCAGGATAACAAGAGTACAGTGCAACACGAATTCTCTTCTGGAAGCTTGAGATACAAGAGTCCGCCTGGAGGATGTGAATGGGAGCTTATCTGTACTGCCAGCCACCAGAGGTACCGGAGCTCCGTTCAGCTCCCTCATCACCTTCGAGGGGCAAATTAAACCAAACACAGATTTGCACCGAGCAAGTGGCAGCAGAAACGTGTGGGAGACACTCGGCCTGTCTGCACAAACGAATCACCCTCTGCCGAAAACATTATGCTTCTGAAACCTCTGATAATTACTTAGATTTCTTCTCATTGTGTCAATATAATGGAGATATAGTTACTCTACAACTTCGTGAGCAATTCCATCCCTCTATGCTCCCTCTTGCCTCTTCTTCAACACTTACTGAATAATAGCATCTATTTTCTTTTCAGTTTCCAGTAGTTGTAAATAGAGGTAGCTGAGCTACTATTAAAAATCACGTTATGCTTTGAAGAGGAGGAACCTTTCAAATGTTGAAGTTACCCCTTAGCTGCACAATCTCTATTAATACTATAAAAATATGAGAGGACAAAAAGAAAATAGATGCAAGTAACTTTTGCATTTGGCACCTTTTGTCTAGATATTCATACTTCTCAAGTATTCTCTTTTTAATAAAGTTAATGCACACATAGGACACACCACATCAAAGGTTTGCTACATATTTACAAGGCACCAACCCTTTGTCACTTTTTACATGAATAAAGAACCGATAGAAAGCACATCAGGACCCCCATAACTGTAGTATAGACATACTTCAGTTCAGCACAATTCATGAACGTTTGGCCTGGGAAGATTAAAATAATCCAGATCCTTCTTACAATATAGAAACTGTAAACATTTTATAGCTGCCTTTAGGATTGGTGTATTGTGCAAAAGTTATAATTATTACTGTGTATAAGGATTTATGGCAGAAACCACATAAAAACTCTGTAAGAAGGTGCTATTTCTATAATACAAAAACAAAACAAGGGAGAGAAGTCATAATCGTGACTCAAAATGTCATGTTCTTATTGAGAAGCTGGAAGCCTCTTTAATGTGATGAACTTGTAGTGTGTGGGGAAGAATTTCTGTAATTTAAGGCCTAATGAATAAGGCTTGTTTTGACCAATGAAGTGTGGCGATCTGAAGTTTTAAAACAAACGCAAACTGACATAATGGAAAAGCACCACTGTGAAACGTGAGTGGAGTCCCCGCACAACTTGCTTGGTAGATTTTCTGGTAAAATCCCTGCAGTAGAAGGCCATTGAAGTTCTTTTAAAATTGTTCCAAAGTTTTTCATCTGTCAATAATTCCATCCCATGAGATGGCTGACCCTGGCTTTTTCTGTCATTTTCCGCACCCTGCCTGACCTGGAAGTACCAAGGTTCAAAGGATCCTCGGTGTGCACAAAATTGTCATTATCAGAATCGTCATTGTACAAGACAGTTCTCCTGCCCTCGTTCCTTGTTTTGATTCGAGGCGGTCTACTGAATCGCCCTCCAAACACGTTTTCACCAAATTGTCCTCCAAACAAATTTTCAAATTCATCATCTGTAATTCGGGCACGTTTCGCTCTGGTGGCTCCTCGCGAGGCTCCTCTGCCTCCTCGGCCTCTTCTTCCTCCCCTGCCGCCACCTCTTCCTCTGCCACAGCCTCTTCCACCTCTACCACCTCTTCCCCCTCTACTCCATCTCCCCCACCTCCCCCATCTACCCCTCCTCCCTGTCCCTCTGCCCTGCCAATTCCGTTTCCCACCGGTGATTTTTCTTTTGATTTTTCTTTTGGGTTTTTTGGATTGCACAACTTTGCTGTAGTCATGGTCTCCATCAATGTAATCCTGATCTGTTCTAGATGTTGATTCAGAGTCTGAATCAGAGCCACTTCTGCTTTCAGAACTTGAACTGGATCCCGATTCCCCACTTTCTGATGAAGACAAACCAGACTTTTCCTTTAATTCTCTCTTCTTCTTTTCCTCTTCCTCTGCCTCCTCCAGATGCTCATCTTCTTCTGATGCACTTAGTAACTTCCTCTTGACTCCTGTCCGAGGTTCTCTGCCATCACCATTTGTAAGTGGTCCATCAGGAGAGTGATCTAAGCAAACACAAAATAACCCTATCGGTTATCATCATCACACTTGAGCCAGACAGGGTACAACAAGTGGGACTCGCCTCATCTGCCTTCGAGGTGTGCTCTGGGGATGATCCAGCTCTGAGCTACTCACCAGAGATGACCTTTATATGCTGTGGAGACCAACAGGTCCTCTAAGGGGAAAATTTATCAGACAAAGTAAACACAGTTCATCTTATCTGGAAGCAAGGACTGCAAACTCTCTTGACTAGGAGTTCAGTGAAGGCCAATAGTGAATTGAATAAAAGGGAAGTGAATAAACGAAGCCCAGAGTGACTAGGTTAGACACAAACATCTAACATTTAGTCAGGTGAATGCTACCTAGGGTGCCAAGGCAGAAAAAACTCTAAAATCCATTTCAAACCTATATACGTTGAAATAACACTCTGCAAGCAGTATTTATTCCCCATCAAATGCATGTTTACAAAAGGCTTAGTCCAGGAAAAACCTGTGGCAAGCACAATTTCAAGACAGTAAATCACCTGAGAAAACTTACCGGCATTGCTGAACACCTTAACTTAAAAATATATAAAGTATCTCGCTGGCTTGGGACAAAATACTGTATGTTTTCAGAGTTACGAATCTGACAATGAAGATTAAATATCTTCTTTAACACGGGATACGAAAAGCTCACCTGCAACATACAACACTGCTACAGCACGGTAGTACGGACCTGACAAAGGCTTCAGGGTTTCAGCCAATGCTCATTCAATGCCTATCTCAGTGGAAAGTCTGATTAACATGTCCCAGAGACAAAATACCAGTTTTCAAACAGTGTTTCCCTTCTAATCACAACTACTTAGCCTTTGATAAAAATACTTAAGTTTTTAAAAACTTTTTTCATCTTTGCTTTGATTAATAAAAGGACAAGGTTTTGGGGTGGGGATTCTTTTGTTTGCTTTGCTTTTTATAACTCCTGAAGGAACTGTAATTCTCAAGAAGTTTAATAGCAATCAAGCTTTTCCATCTGGAGAAATTTTAAAGGACCTCACTGAAGTGCATGTGGCATCATGTGCATGCCACACTTCAGACAAGAGACCACAGAACTGTAAGAAGTTCAATTCATCTTCTAAGTAAGTTCAAGTAAATTAAATTCCTTAGTATGGTTTGGGAAAATAGTATAATGCTAGACTCAGGCAAGAATATTGTAAGCATCAGACAGAAGCAACATCTTTCATTTCTAGTGAAACCAGTCATTCAAAGAACAGAGTACTTATTATTTCTCACCTTGTTTCACTGGTGTAGATTTACTCCTGACTGGCCTACTTTTCCCTGGATCAATGATATTTCCACTTCGGTTCTGTGCATTTGAGCCTGAGGAAGATGGCTGACCTTCCATCTCTTCACCAGTGGCTGAACCCAGGGGTTCTTCTGCTGTATCTGAAACTTTAGACAGGACACCACTAATGTGACAGAGTCGTTTTTATCCTCTATTTATAGGGTTGTAATGCAAGGCATTCTAGGGAGGTTTTGTATCACCTGAGTTAATAGCCCAAGTCAGGAGGTTAACCTCGCCAAGCTGCCTCTGCAGTCATGAAGAGACAGATTCCTCCGGGGTGTAATCCAAAGTAAGCTTACTGTATTCATAATTGCTGTATGGGAGAAGCCCGTATACAGGAAGCCCAGGCTCTTGTCACTAGATTAATTCTTACCAAGGACAGACCCAAGTTCCTTATTCTCTGACCCTTAACAATAACTTACCAACGACAGCTGGAGGGCCAAGTTCAGCTAACATAATCTACAGACAACATATTTTCATGACCTTGCTACTTGCTCTTTCAACAGGTGGGTTTTGCATGTGTCTCATGCATATAAGCTTTAATCTGGACATACAAGTTGCTGCCAGAGAAAGGATGCATCTTAGAAAATTTCTCCTCACCATGAGATGAAACTGAAGAACTAGTCCTAGTCAAAGGCAGTGAGGTATTCTGGTTGGGTTTAGGTTGAATCTTCATTTGTTTCTGTTTCCCTTTTGGGCTGAAGACACAAAATATCCCAAAGAGATAAAACTGTTAGTACCAAAAGACTCAAACACAAAACCCATTTCCCCTGCAAAGTGCCTTGTTTTTTGCAGCAAATGCTTAACAGAATTGATCTCTTTTTCCCAGTTCTTGCACAGGTGTAGTAACACTAAAAATAATTAGAATATCATTCTGTTTGCTAAAGGCATCTGAGCTTGCAAGAACAAGATTTTATCTCACCCTTTAAAACAAATACTCAGTTTACTTAGGTAATGTATCATACAGAAGTCAGAAAAGTGTTATACAACACTTTTTTCAACAGTTACTAAATGAAGGCAAAAAGAAACTTGGTCTTCCGTTTCTCCCAGAGGGAATACTTCTAATCATATAGTCTTTCACTTACCAGAATTATGCACAAACTACAAATTGAGCATGGAATCTGAGCTCATGATTCTATCACCCAAAAGAACAACTGCATCAGGAAATGAGCAATACTGTTACTGACTGCTTATTCATGAAGGCATGTCTACCACTGTCATCTCAAATGACACTGATAGCAAGTCTCACTATCGTTACGTTACCTAGATGCTCTACTAGTTGAGGGTGAACTGCTACTGCTTCTTAGCCGTTTTCGGTACCGTGGCCTTTTCCTCTTCTGACATTGCATTGCTGACTTGTACTCAGAGATGATATTTTTCATGTGATTTTCAAATAAGGCAGATAGTCGAAGTGTCATGCTGTAAATCTGGAGTGAGAAAGCATGGTCATACTTATTAGAAGTTGAATAACTAGAAGACCGGGGGAGGAGCATGGCGGGGGGGGAAATCACAAATATGCCCAGACTTTGTAGCACAAAAGTAAAATTCGTGCTGATGTTCAACTACGAGGTTCTTTACAGATAATTTCCTTCCATGGCATATGTGTATTCTTGCAACAGAAAGTGTTTCCGTAAAAGGATTTACTTACTTACAGTACAAAATATTTACAGAGTTAAAGGAAAAAGGCTATTTAGATTACTGAAATACAGCCTCCTTTTTTAATCTCCATAAAGCACGGAAGCACGCCATTAGATAACTTGAAGTGCCAAGGAAAAAAACAATTGAACTTCACTGCCCCTTGCCTTTTGTCTTTTGCTTGAACTCCCTAGTGACAAGTCCTTCCACCACCCCTAGAGAGCTGCACACAGAAGCCAACTAAAATGTCCTCATTCCCAACTTCTGTAAGCCAGATGTCAAAATGCTTAAACCATGTTCTTGTCCTCTTTCTAGGCCTTCCCTCTGTGTAGCCTCATCCACAAATTCACTCATGGCTATTTCTCTGTATTTCAGACTGTATTTACTTCTGTTCAAGATTTTATCTGGGATTTGTTTGAGTTATGACAAACTAATAGTTCAAACTCAGCATAAATAAAACAAAGTTCTTGATTCCTTCCTCACATCCATACCCTTCTGCTGCATCCAGTCTTCTGAAAATTGTGTTAACACCATCAAGATGTTATCATCATCTTATACTCAGACCTCTTCCCATTTCTTGCAGTCTGTCTGAATATAAAATCTCTTTGATATGGAGTTTTTGCCCAGACCCTTTTATTTTAGCAATGTCGCTTTCTTTAGCTCTGGCATGTAGTACCCTGCCCTTCTTGCCTCCATTCAAGATGCTGTTGCAAAGATGGTAAAATGGGCTAGAAAACCTCAGGATGTTGGCCAATATTTGGCAGCAGATGAACCTGCAGTGGCAGAGGGCCCAGCTGCATGCCCCAGCCCTCCAGCAAGGATCACCTCACTGAGGCACTTCACAGCATTTAAGCAAATGGATATTGATGGGCCACTCTGCTAAAGTAATTTGGGAGTTGACTCACAAGCTGTTCAGTTATTAATACACAGGGAAGTTCCCAGGGAGCATGCAGCAGTAAATAACTCACCAAGACTACTCTGATGCCAAGCACACATAAGACACACTCAAATTACTTGTCTTCTTGCAATCCTCTACTGATTGCCCTTCCATAAAAGCAAGCAAAAGTTACTGGTCTTCATCTTCAGTACTTACCCACAGCCCACCTTTCAGCCCTTATTCAACACCAAGAGTTCAATCGGCCTTCAACGACAGCAACTTCGTGCTTTCTCTCACGCTCACTAACACACGGCTGGAGTTCCCCCTCCCACAGCATCATCCTACTTCAAGCTTACTCTCATCATCCAGTTTACACAAGGCTATTACTCCTCAAGCGACAGGTACGGTCACACAACCTCCTGCTTCCTCCCATCTAGCACCGTTTACATGTGCACTGAAAGCTCTTTGCAGCACTCTGCTCCTTCTCCTGCTTGACAGCACCTAGCATAATAAAATCTTGTGTCACACCATGTTAGGTGCCCCACACAAATTTTACAGTAATATTAAATTCCATGTATTATTGTGCTTTAAGTAATAGTATCTCAGTCTAGTCCCAAATGGCATGTATTTCTTAATAGTCTGTAAGTGTTCCTGTTTCTATGCAAGAAATATTAGGCAACTTTGTGACCAGCATACTTATCTATGCTAAATGACATGTTTCAGAGATGTGATTTTGTCACAACTTAAGCGTCTTATTCAATATGCAGCTTTTCCTTATAATAAGGTCATTACAACTTAGTGTCTGGAAACACGGTCAAAATTCTGCCTGCTTTTATATTATGAAGACATCAACCACTCAAATTCTATTTTGCATCAACAGTGGTAAAAACTGCATCTGCGTTCTCATGCCAACTTGTGATTTTTTGAGCATAAACAACGTATCGTTAAAACATTTGAAAATTTTAGAATTGTTTGGTCATTTAGCTTCTTAGGAAAAGCTGACAAGGAATGTCCTGCACAGGAACACATATCAAACATAGCCATGTTTACATGATCAGTCATACACTTAGTAGTCATTTTACCTAGCTTATATAAAAATATCTATATTCTAACATTTTGATCTCCCTTTTCCCTCTTGCCATATCCTGCTTAGGGCTCCAATCCAATCCATTTTTTCTGCCTAAGCAGATTCCTATTCCTGCACTCAGAAAAAAGCAAGATTGGCACCTGAGTAACACAGGCAACACTGTGCGAAAGTCTTGCCAAATATACTAAGTAAACTAGAAAAAAATTAAGTGTCATAATGCTCTCATCTCCTCCAGCAGTAGAAATATTGCATAATACTTGCATTAACAGTAGATTAAAAACATATATATATATATATATATATGCAGTTATCAAGCTGATAGCCTTGTTTCCAGGAATAAATTACTGAAAAAATAAAAGCAACTGGTGATCAGTTTTCTGCTGCAAATATTCAAAGAAATAGTTGCAACAGTAACCATACCATTTCTCAGAAGCTTTAAGTTCAGGAAGTTCAGATGAAAATGAAATTCAGAAGTGATCTCCGTGAGCAGAACAAAGCAAATTTATAACCATAGGTCCCGGAGCTGACATATACTACTTATTTTATTTCACAATGCAGTGTTTTCCTCTTCAGATGCAGACCTTATTTCATGCACTGTACTCATGTAGGGCCAGGGTCTTTGTAAAGAAGGCATTAAAATTTATTACTTACTCGAGACTTTTTATTAGGAGTGTAAGCTTTAGAGTTGCAGAATATTAAACGAATGTCTTTGTAGAATTCCAGGGGACTAGTGTAGTTTCCTGCTTCCAAGGTTTCTTTCACAGTGCTGAAGTCCATAGGAGTGTCTACAATATCTCTATAATCCTGTAAGAAAACACAAGAAAATAATAAAGGCTGTCAAATCCTACAGCAATAAAACCACCTAAGTGTTCACCCACAACAGTGGCTCTCAAGCAATTCTTTCTACTTGAGAGTTACTGCAGATAATTCTCTGAAAACATCAGTGCAAAGAACATGGGGCATTCCAGCTCATAAAGGGAGAGGTTAGAAACATGCCCAGCATGAATGTTTTGCCAAAGGATAAACAATAGGCTTTTTTAATTTTGAATATGGAAGTTGTACTTACAGGATAGGAGAAAAGATCAACTGGCTGTCTAAAGGGCTCAGAGTCCTCTCTTTCATAAATCAGGTTTAACAACTGCTTGCATTGCTCTTTCCAAGCATCAGGACTTGCTTTCATGGGCTGTCTTTTTATTCGTCGTCTTACCTGCAGTGAAACAGGTGTATTTTGTCATTTTTCAGAATATTCAAATTTTTCACTCTAAGTTTCTATTAATTTACCAATGTTCTGATTCAAAGCAGATTTTCACAGTTAAAAACAGAATTGCAGTAAGATTAAAGCATAGCTGATGGCACAACAATATGCAGTATGCAAACTGCAGAAATATGCCTTTTCTGGTAATATATAAACACTCAAACCCATGAGAGGTATGCAATATTTTGCATCCAACCTTGTTATTTTTATCAGCTTTCGTCCAAATTTGACTGAAAATTGAATCTGTTCTAGGTATGTTTCAAGTCAAATAAAAAAAAATTCTTCAGCAATTAACTAAATTTTTCTGCACAGTAACTTCCTTAGTCTGCCAACACTTACATACACATGCAACTGAATTCACATAGTTAGTCCTACAGACTGCTGGCCATGACAAATTTAAACCATTCCAGACCTAAATGAGTGTTTCAGTACCTGGTGTACCTCCCTTCACAAGCTAGACCAAGCAGAAATGTTTACTCACTCGTCTTTTTCCAGAGGAAGTTCCCGGAGCGTCTGAATCTACATCTACTTCTGCCACCTAAAGGCAAAGTTAATGATTACACACATGCATGCTTGTATGCACCCTCAGCAATAGAAAAAGGGTTAAAAACCAGCCAGCCAACAACGAAAACCCCCAATTTTAAACTACTCAAACGCAATGAATGGTTCAAGCAAAACAGAAACTAGTTTCAAACTAGCAGTCACGTAACTTAAAAAAAAAATTAAAAAATTAGGTGGATGAGCTGTTTCATCTCTTTTCCAAGTCTGCTTCCATATAAATTATACATAAACATGTGAGAAATATGAATGGCTTATTTTCAGTCCTTAAAACTCAGCTAAGTCCCAGTATTGCAGAGCTCTATTCCACTGCCTAAATGTTCATGCTCTGAGCAGCTGTACTGAGTTTATTCAGGTTTCATGTAATGACTGACTTACATCAAGTGTATGCAATATTCTTTTCAGAATCTGGATTTAGAAATTGCAACAAAACCTCCTTTGTACACAGCATTTTACCAGTTATTAAAAATAAATAATGTTGAGATGACAGGAAAGTTTCTACAAAGAATACGAAAGTAATTTCTTTCTTATTTTAAAACATACTATAAACCAAAACATATTATAAACCAGCTCTTTGAAAGGCTGGAGAGAAAGGAAGGTGATATAGTAGCAATTATGGACACTTCTGATCACTGCTTGACACAGAACAGATGAGCTTCACAACTGACACAAGAAGGTTCAGTTGGGAAAGGAGGGTGTGCTATGTAAGTCATGGAAATCCCTCATTTTCTTCAAAATACTCTTTTAATAGTCTGTAAAAATAGATGCCATTATTATATCTTCAGTTTTATAAAAGTAATTAAATTATGACATTGTAGTCTAGATTTTAAGTTTCAATACAAATCTAAGACAATAGCACCGGCCATAAGCATATAGGTGTTCAAAGCAGCATCACGTTTAACTTAAATATTTCAAAACTGCAACAATGGAGTATGTCTTGGGGAAGGGAGGAGGGAAGAATCCTCCTAACTAAATCTTACACCAGCTCATGTATTAGAAAGCAACACTGTAAAAGTAAAACAAACCCAGGTGACTTTGGTTGTAACAGGTCACTTTTTTGTAACAGAAACTGCAGCAAATTTCAAAATGTTTACAAACTGCATTTAAGGGGAGAAGGTGTAAGGAGAGAGAAAAAGTTGGAGGAAGTGATATCTAACCCATTTTCTACCTGTCATTTCACTCCAAGGTACAACTGACAGGAAATGACACAGAATTACATAAGAAAACCAGCTCTGCTGCCTCACTGACAATAGGAGAGCTGTCGTCCTTCTGGTTTTGGCAGACTGAATAACAGCTCCAGTTCATATTTCCCTTACTTACTAATACTTCCTCACACAACAAAACATCATGTACTGGGAGGAGATTAAATATAGGCAGTTCAAAGAATAATTTTTACTTACTTAAGGGAGCTTATTGACCCAGGGGAGCAACATAAATGGCCTAAATAGGCTCATCTCAAAAAGTCAGTGCAACTACCCATAAAATAAAAACTCAACAACAACAACAAAAAAATCTTTCTCAAATTTCTTCTAAGTGCTGAATTTAAAAAGTTAAGAAGTTCTGACAATCAGACTTAATGGTCTTACCTCCTCTTCATCAGTACTGCTTAGGTCTTCTGCTTTCACCTTGTTATATATTTCTAATATATCAGTACAACTCTGATCCCTGCAGGACAGTAACAAAAGCCAAAATACATAATCAATTATCTCAGAAACTCAAGATGTCAGGTCTATAAAGTAAAAAAAAAGCCTACCCAATGAAGCGAAGTAAGACATCTGTTACAATTTTGGCTGCTTTGACTATAGGACTGTCTGGCTCGTTGAAAGTCCTGGCATTATGTTCAATGTATCGTACCTCCCACATCAGTGCAGAGATTCTTCTAAAAAAAAAAAAAAACAACCAAACAAAACAAAAAAAAAAACGAGGAAAGGGGTAGTGAGGAAGGAGTACATTATTTTTTCTTCTGAGTTCAGTAGGATTCCTCAGTAAAAAAAGGAATCAGCTAATTCAGATCCAGGAGAAACAGGTTGCTAGAGACCAAGGTAAGTGGTTTCTGTTCACATACTGCTGACTGGCCCAATGTGCCAGGCTGTGACAGCTTTGTGGAAACAAGATGTCCCTCGTCAAATCAGCAATGAATGGAATGAAAAGAGGAAACAACCCTACTGAAGAAGACTGCTGACTGCTCCCACTTAGAGAAAGCCTTAGAGATAAACTGGTCTTCGGGGGGGAGCGCAGGACATTATTTATCCCCAAGTTAACTAGAAAAACTGAGATTTCTAGTTTACACCACTACTTAGCCCACTTCTGGCAACTGCAGTACAAGCAAAGCATCTGGTTCAAAGGCAGCAGAGATACAGATGAAGCAAATATGCTCTGCCTTCAAACACATCCAGAGAGTAAGGCTCCATACGTTACACAAAAAAGACGCAGATCCAGATATACCAGCTTTTGCCTTAACAATGTGGCCAAAAGAAATTATTATTCAGGAAGACTCACTTTGCCAAAGGCCAAATAGAATCTGATCTTATGCTGTTGACTCATCGAAGAAATATATTGCTGAAGTGGCATTACATAGCTAAACATACTGTCCTTGATGGGGCTATAGTAAATGTAGATTACAAACAAATAAAAATCCAACTGACCTATAAAACCTGTTTTCAAGTCTCCTCCTGATTGTGGTGAGGTCAGTTGGATAAGCAACAACAGTGCAATACATGGGATAGGCACTAAGGTCCACCGGAACAGCAAAGGGATTAGAAATGTCTGAAAGACAAAAGATCAAAATAATGTAGATGCCTCAGAAGATACCAGAAGGGCAGTTATAACCAGACTCTTTATAATGGTTTCTGGGTTTCCTTCTAAGAATTCAGCAAAAGCAATACAGATCTACAGCTGGATATGTCATTACCCAAAGGGTAGGATTCTTCCTCTTGTACCATCTGTTAACTACTCTTGAAAAAGCATTTTTTGTTTAAGTATTGCATCTGAGATTTGCATGCCAGCATCTAACCATATTGCTAAAAAGCAACATGGCATATGCACTTACAACAGGAATACTACAACAAGCAACGTAAACTAAGAATACAGGCATGTCCTATGTATAAATATAGGGTAGAATTTAAATCATAGCATGCTATTGAAGGGCTACAAACTAGTTACAAGGGATTTTTTGGTTGTTTTTTCAGAGGTTTAATTCAATGTTAAGCTCATTCATATTTAGATATGACCCACTGAGAATCCCCATTAACCTGAAAGGAAGCAGGTCAAGCCCCAGAAAAAAAAGGAGTATAACTGAAAAGGACACCATATGAAATTTAAAAGGCTCTTTTCAATTACTTAGTTGGCACATTTCAAATTCTCCACAACAACTCCCAAAACGCCATCCTATCTACTCTTTAGTCATGTGCCACCACACTGATATTCTTAATCCTTCCACCTTTTCTCTCCAAACATACCAAGGGAAAGAAGTTGCTCAATCCCCCGGATTACTCGTTCACATTCTTCATCTCTGGAATGGGCACCCCATTCTCCTTCCTGGGGTTTGTAGAGAAGAGCTGTCAGCTCATCTGGAGTCACAGGAACTCCAGCACCAACCTCCTCCGGATAAGCAGCTAAATATGAAGAATTCAACAACAGTAAGTACTAGCAGTGGCAAAAAACTATTTACTTTGTACGTGGATGTGAACTCAATACACACTTACTTCCTTCTGGAATTGGTTCCATGTCCCATGGACTCATCCTCTCTCTTTCATTGTTGTCCCAGCTATTAAAAAAATATATATTCAAATGCATAAGTTAGAGCTGAATATAACAATACACCTTTTCTCCACCAGACTTAAACTAAAAAGGTCATGCCTATTAGAAACAAGACTTGTCACTTGCTACATTCCAACTCCTTATTTCTCTCTTGTATCTCCTATATATTCACTGCACTGCTGTTTTATGCGTTGTTTTATGAATAAGTTCATAATTAAATAAAAACAAAGCAGCTGATTACGTATTTGAATGGAAAAAAGGAGCCTAGTTCTTGAGGTACATGCTTAAGTTGCATGTAAACATCTAGGAGACCCAGAGCATGTAAATGTGTGTGATATTTACATAGCTGTAATGTACTTACTGAACACAGTAGCACTGGAAGGAACTATCAGGATATTCTGCCTGGAAAGGCTGCTGACTCTCCACAGTTCCAAACCACCAAGCGTCATCTATTATACTGCGAAATCTATCCCCTGTAAGGGAAAAGATTGCATTCAGCAAAAGAACAACATAAATAATTGTTAAATACTTCTTTTTAGAGAATCAACTTCATCTTTCATAAATGCACTACTTCAATTCTTACTTTTTGCACTGCTGCCCTTCCCCTAAGGGAGGACTTCCACATCTCTAGTAATTAGTCACAGCTGCCTCCATGCCTCAAATCATTCTATAACAGTAGCTGCTTCTGCTATCACAGGCCTCGTAACACTTTCTCTCATTTCTCTCTTTTTTCTGCTACAGGAATTGCAGCAAACATCAAATAAAGTTTCCAATGATCGCTGTAGTATCATGTGTAGTATAGTCCTTTACATCATGTAATAGAGACGCTGTATCCTATTAAACAGCTGCAGAAATGTTGCAAAACATATGGAAGTGGAAAAAAAGTAGTCACCTATTTGCCAGTTCCTTTCTTTGGCTTCATTATAAAACTGATGCAGCACAAGGAAGTCAATAACATCTGGCATATCATGGTACCTTCATGAAATAGACAAAAAAAATTGCTTCTATAACCCATAAACATAGTTCCACATGTACAATACAGAGAGTCTCCAAAAACAAAATTTCATGCATTTTGTTTTCAACTTTGCTATAATAACTAATTAACGCCATCATCATGCCTTGCAAGAGACAAAAGAAAGGAGAGGGGGGAAGCTTCTAAACTGCAAGAAAATCTTTTGAAGAATGTCATCAGCATTTCAGTTTACTTACTTTATGGAAAATGATTCTCCTGTCATTTTGCCTGTGATTGGATCTAGGAATGCAAGCTTCAAGCAGCAGAGTGTAGGAGGCCCAACTTCATATTTAATTCCTACAGTCTTCACAAATTCTTGTTCCTGTTTATCAATAAGCATGGAACAGTGTTATTTTAACTTGCTAACAAAAATGTCCATGTTAAAGTACCAAACATTAATAAAAACCAAATATATTTCCACTCTACAGCCCAGGTAATTTCACCCATAAAAGTGTTCTTTTCCAAATACTAAAAATCAATCACAGTCACCTTAAAAAGAAAAAAAAAAAGACATAAGATGCCCATTCCCTTGGTAGATTTGTGAACATTACACCCACAAATTATTTTTTTGTAATAAGGTTCTAAGGAACATACCCACTCTGGTTTTAACCACACTGATGGCACCAAAGATTATACCTGACCAAACCCAGGGCCTCCCACCCTTGCATAGCAACATGCAGGGGAAATAAAAGGAAATTCTTCCTCTTAAAGTGGAAATTCAACAATAGCCTTTATGTTCACATCCTGTAAAACATCAGCTGGTGGTAAGGACTCTATCCCAAGTGAAATGCTATTGCCTTTTCCTTACAAACTGAAGATTACAGCAAGAATCCCTAAATACCTAGGACCGACCAGTAGCCAGATGTTTTTCCAGTAAAGCAATTGTTTTCATTAATAGAACCACTGGCATACACATATATGAATATTAGCATACACGTGTGCTCTTCTCTTGATATGAAATCTGAGTAAAGCAGAAAAAAATATGGCAACACTGTGGATTGAGTACTAAGGGGTTCAAAGTAAAAGGATAAGAAAAATCAACATAGCTATGTAAACCTAGTATCTATCCAAGCATATGTTGTAAGATCTTGTCTTGCCCTTCCAAGAATTTAAGAACATACACAATTATATGCTTAGCTAGATCCACTCTTTAGCAGAGCTTATGCATACATTTAGGTCTTTGCGCCATGATGTCTTACTTCTTACTACAGCATTAAAAACAATAAGTAGAACCTAGATGTTCAGGTCATTGTAGAGCGCTGACAGAACTACAAACAGCTTTTGAGCGGTGGGTTCTGAATTAATTAGCGTTAAGAAAAAAAAAGCAGGGCAACCTGTTCCAGTGCTTAACTGCTCTCACTTTTTCTTTTATTTAATATTCTACATTTTTTTTATCCATCAGGCAAGAATACCACACTAGATAAACTTTCACATTCTTTAATATCCTTCTGGCTTCCTATCAGGAACTGAACACATGTAAAGGCTTTGTGTTAATGAAAACACTAATTTTAAGATTTACCATTTTAATTTTGATATTAACATTTTAAAGTGATGCTTTCTTCATATTTTTCATACTGGTTTTTAATGTCAATTTAACATTACAGAGACATTCAGCTCTTGAAAGTATTTGTTTAACTTACCCTGAGTTCCATTTTGTTCCATGGTTGTTTTTGCATGTTAATACTGTAAATTTTTGCTTTCCTTACTGCCCGCACATAAGCTTCATGGCCTTGCCTAAAGTATATGATCTTAAAAGAAAATATAAAAACCCATTATTTTACTGATAGTTCTCTTCCTGTTTATTCTAAAATTTCTATGAACACATCAGGCATCATCCCTTTCAGAACATACTGCACACTTCAGTATTTCATTATAAAGCACTCTTCTCCTTAAAAATATTGATATCAGCCCCCAAAGTCACACCTGCTATGTGCTTTCAAACTTGGGATCATTAAGAAGTGTGCAGGCTTGTCTGAAGATGCACAATCAAGAGACATAGGACAGCTATCTGTAAACAACTGACTGACTAAGAATAAAAAAAAGTTATCAAAGCTCAGCCTATCTTGAGCACGATTCACTGAAAATATTACTAGACATAACAGTCCTGACCAAAACAAGCTCATCAGTGTAGGCAGGAATTTCAGAATTGCTACGCTTATTACCTCATCGCCCATTTGTGGGACAAAAGGTGAGCGGCGGGGTATAGTATCCAAGATCCACTGTGGGGCAAGCCATTCTTCACTGGGTTCACCTTCCATCGAAAGCAGTCCACTTGGTTTCTTAAATATATTACATTAAATTTAGAATGCAAGCTGTAATTACTGTGGCAGAACATATGAAAAACTGATCATACAGCACTTATTGAAGATAACTAGATATAAGGGCAAAGCAAATGCTGGAATGTCAACCTTCTAAAAACCTTAACTGAACAGCAGGGAATAAGACATGTTCATTAAAAACAAAATAGAAGGTTAAAACATTCATAAATAAAGAGATTATATTTCTTTAGAAATATTCTAAACATCTTTAAAAATACTAGGAAAAAGAAATCTGACAATGTAAATACAATACAGGTGCATTATAATTTTACAACAAAATCACCTTGGAGTAAATCTAACTGCAGTGAAGAGCATAAATCTGGGAGAAAACATACCACCTGCGTGAAACATGGAAGTACATCTATGTCACAAAGCAGCAAAGCAAACAAACAAAAATACTCTGGGTACCACTGGTACTACAATTCCTGTGCTGTCCATAGGTTCTTTCTTACTATATATCTTTTGTGAAAAATTTTACTTTGAAAACAACCACTCAAAATAAAATTTATATTCATAAAGTAAAAAAAAAGACACTAAAAAATTTAAAATGTTGACCTTTTTTCTAGGCTGTTTAAGTTTCCTTCGTTTGGGCTCCAGTCCTTTTGTTCCCTTCATATTTTCATCTTCAGAACTACTACAGATTTTCCGAGCTGCCTGCCTGGTTTGTCTCTTTGGCGGCTGGAGATTAATTCCAGCATCTGCTGTCCAGTCAGAATATTCACTTGATGAATCACTGTAGATAATAAAAAGTTGTAAGAAAGAAAACAGCACTTCAGTTTTCACACAATGGAGTGAAAGGTCCAAACATGCAACCTGCTCTTCTGGTTATGTGGAACAGATGTCAGGATTAGCACAAAATTTCTCTCTCATGTGAATTTAAAGAAAACCTCAGTGCCCTCTAATTTATGTATTTCAGCAAATTATTTTATCAATTGCAAACTCACAGTAAAACTAAAGTTATGGCTGATACCTATTTTCATACTAATTATTTCACTGATTCATAGACTGACTTCATAAGAACTGACTGTACAAATGCATGAAAAATATAGAAAACTAGAGCACTCTTCTAAAAATACAGTTCTGACTTCTTTAATATCCAAATAACAAACATACAGTATTTATATTAGCTCATGGCCCTTCCAGCCATAAAAGCATAACATTAAGAATAAGAAAAGAGACTGTAAAAATTGTACACAAATACATACTGACAACAGAAAAAGCTGGAAATACTGAAGTATGAACAGAAGATATGTATGCACTTCTATCAATATTTCTATTGCATATGACTAACTGGCATTGATTTTTTCAAGCAGTTCTTAATTAAAGACAAAGTTTTCTTACAAATGGTCTTTCAAAACTGTTCTTGACTTTGGGGGGGGGGGGCAGGACGTGACATGGACACAAAAAACTACAATATAAAATGCTCCATGAAGGACTGGAAAAAAAGTCAGTCTTCAAAATTAAGAAATTTTCACACTGGTTTTCTGTTAAATACTGTTATAAAAATTTTTACAATTACTTAGTCACTCATAAAAGTATTTGTCTGTTCACAGACTCCACAAATTTTGTTGGTTACCATTTTAAACTACCTAAGTGTACTAGACACTTTGCTTCCATGTGTCATAAGGTGTAAAAAATCTGTACTGACTTGTAGTCGCAGTAGCACAATACTTACTTAAGTCTTACTTATGTCTTACTTAAATTACTTAATAAGCTAATGTTAACAATTAAGAGACCAGTAAAGCTACCTGGAACTGCTTTCACTTTGCCATGCTGCCACAGGATCATCCATAGATGCATCACTTGTGCCAACAGTCTCATCTTCCTGTATTAAAAACAGAAGCTTTCACTTTGGGGCCAAGTTTAAAATGTATCATTTTTGTTTGCAAGCAAGTTGTAGGACTTGTCTCACCTGAGGAAAGCTTTGTATTTAAGGACTGGTTTAGCTTAAAGTAAGTCCACAATTTCTTTCTGTCTCTTAATTAATATTATACTACATGCTTATGTAATTCCTATAGAAAGAGATCCGAATTTTAATGGTATTAGAACCATAGAATGAGTTCTTATTTAAGTGTTTGATTAATAAATTTTAGTGTCAAGTGACCAGCTTTATAGCTATTCTGTACGCTTAACACATTTACAAAGTGACAATGTTCAGTCTCTTTTTACTTTGCATGCTTAATGAGAACAAGTTATATTTAATCTGGTATATTTTAAGTTCTTCCCTTGCCAATATCAATGATTAATACCAATACTCAATCTCTTTCAACAGTAGTCTACAGATGAAGATGAAATCAAAGTACTGAATATGACCTAGAATATATGTGCTGCGTGAAATCCCAAAATAGCAAGTGGTTTAACACAACCCAGTTAAATTTACTTGAAAATGTTTCAGATTTCCAAAAATACCCAACCTGTTTTAAGCTAGTTTTGAATACTGTACAGGCATTGAGGTAAATGATTCTCCACTCTCCAAGATCAACATACTACAGTAACACCACAAATCCAAAAGAGTCAATGATCTGAGTGTTTCTTCCTACGTGGAGAAACTTGAAGCCTTAATGGTAACAGCGCTCTCAGCACATCTGTTGTCAAACCACGCTATTTGTGAACACGGAACCTATTGAAAGAATCGTTTGATATATCAGACCTCTGAGGAGCTGTCTGATTCTTCCCGTGCACGTGCACTTCGACTTGCTCCTTGCTGATTGTGTTCTATGGTGGAGCGTGTTTGGTAGGCATGCTGGCGTTTGCGTTGGTTTCTTCTCAAAGACCTTCCACTTCCTGGTTGGTAATCATTCTTTTATCATGGGACAGGAGGGACAGAAAGAAAAAGATTAGAGATTTAATAATGAATTACACAGTTAAAAGATGCCTCATTAAAGTGACCCTATGTTGTATCCCATTTACAAACAACAACTAGGAAATCTAGAATTAGAATTGAAAAGGTATCTTTTACACACTCGTGGTTCGTTTCAGTGCACATACAGGTGTGGTTTTTTGGTTCAATATCAATTCTACTTTTCAAAGTAGCAGTCCTTAGAAAGGAAGTTATGGAGAAATATCATTTTTTCTAAAACATATCTGCAATCTCTGGGTAAGATAAAAGCTAGCCACTTAAAAAAGCGTGGCACCTCTAATATTTCTCCTAGTTTCCACGAGTCAAACTGAACACCCACTGTGGCTCTGCTCTTTTCCCTTCCCAGCATCTTCCCACTACCGAAGCTTTAAGGATAGAGATTTACCACTGCTATTTGCATATTAGAGTATAAAGACAGACAAATTACAGTTACAGAAGGAAGACAGAGAGCCAGAGAAACAATTAGTATTATTGAGCTTCTAAATCATTTAATAAAATTGGTTTGGCATGAGAAACAATTAGTATTATTGAGCTTCTAAATCATTTAATAAAAATGGCTTGGTGGTTTTTGTCTTTTTTTTTTTTTTTTTGCTCGAAACTGCCTCACACCCAGGTTCTCTCTTCTAGTGAATTAACTCACCCGTTGTAAGGTGTGGGATGGCTTTCTCTTCTTTTCAACAGTGTATAAATTAATTTCAATTTCACCTTTGGCAGCTCGACATTCTTCCTGGACCCTAATTATACATAGGAAACATCCATTTTATTCAAGAAATCACCATATAACTTGACAGTCTCATTAATATACACATTAAAATACTTCTGGTTCCCTTGCTATAAGAAGTCTGTGCAAAAGTCCTCCTAGCAAAATCCACAAAAACTTCACTCCTGGCATCACAAGTCAAGGAAGCAAACTTGTTAGTTGAGCATGCATAATTATTTTCAAGTAAACTGAAATGTATTAAAATTATTTTCAAGGTTTTTTTTAAATAAAGCTTCAGACAAATGTGGTATTTGAACTACTGAAGAAAGATTCAATTGTGAAGAGAAGGAATTACTGCTTTCAACTCTCCAGCAGAGACTACCACTCTAATCCTAACATCTGGATTTCAAAACAAACCAACCAACCAACCCCCCAAAGCCAACACATTTCTGAAAAATCATTTTTTAAAACTCATAACAGGTGTAGGGAGGAATCATTAAACATTACACAATTTAATCTTTTTTTCCTGTCTCACTTAAGATCTTACTTGCTGATGCCTGGAGGAAGCTCATTCACCACAACTCTCCTGCTCCATGCCATGAGATCTCTCTCCGTTGCCATTTGACTTCGGGGAGCATTGTGATGCATCTGCCGGACCCCTTCAATCTGACCACTTCTCCGGAGACCAACGTTTGGTGGAGATGTAACATCCAAACCCGGACTTCGAAGAGCTAAGGAAGAAAAAGATTTTTCTTCACTTCTATAAACCACCAATAAAATCTAGAATTTAAAGTTTAAGGACTGAACAGAGATTCTTTTTTGGCAATAAACAACACTACGTTAAGTGGCTTTGTCTTTTGCTTCAGATGAACATTTTTGTGTATTTGCCTCGGACTACTGGAGATGCATATGCTACTGTAACATCACTGTGGCTTGCTATATCTTAGAGATATCTGAGGCAAGCAAAGAATATAATCCATGAGAAAAGTTTTAAAGGCACTTAAGTGACCTTCAAATCAAAGTCTTGCCAACTGCTTAAAGGCTCTGAAATCATGACTCTTAAATTCTATTGTACAGGAAGAGATGACGTTGACATCTAAAATAGACTGCTGCAAGGTTTAAGGTTTCTGTTCTACCTCCACTTGTGCTGTGTTTGTAACACTTATCTACTGTGCCACAGGCACTGCTCCTTCTCTGGGCTTTTCGTCAGGTGGTACAACAACACAGTGTGACATACTCAGGAGAAAACAGACACTTTAGGTAGCAAAGTGAGACAAAAAGGCTGATAATATCAGAATCACTGGCATCATTGCCTTAATTTATCTCATCATTTGGGAATGCATCAACACAATTTCCACATGCTTAAATATAGTTCACCACATGAATATATTGCATTCACGGTTGTGCAAACCTATATAAAAAAAATTGGCTATTAAAATATCAGGTACTGTATACATACTGTAACTTACACAAATGGGCAGTTCATGTAGCAAAGTCACTGATCAATGGAAGTTCTACAAGGTAACTACTTTAATTTCTATACCACTCATACCTGGAGATTCCCTTTCACACAACTACAGGGAAACACAAATAAAATTGAAAACGGAGATTGCACAACACATCAACCTACCATAAGAAGCAGAAAAGACTTCTTGTGAGTTGAAGCTGGTTTCTAGGCCACCTTCTTGACAATACCAATTTAGATCAAAGCAAGTGTATTTTCAGCATCTTTCACTAGTATTTTTCCTATTCCTTCCTGAATTTAAAGACAAGCAACTCCAAATCTATCAATCCTAACAAGCTTTGCCAGGAAATCTAATTGAAACGCGTAATCAGTCATTTAACCTAGAACTAATTTATTAGCAGATGTAAATTTTTTAAAAGCTCAGGATGACTTGCAGCACAAGTCCACAGCATCTACTCTCTTACATCAACCGCACTGAGTAAGCTGCCTCGCAGTCAGCTGTTCACATCTGATTGAGTTTGGTCTAAATTTTTAACCACTTTGTGTATTAAAAATAAAATCACAGTAGCAGAACACTTATCAGGAGAATTATCTCAAGCTTTCTAAGGAAACACTAAGACAGAGCAGACACATTTATTTTATAAACACTGATGCTCAGCCTTAGCATTTATGCTGCAACAGGAAGCCATTAGTCTGTCACAACATTGTATTCCATTGACATTCTCTAATTATACACTGTTATCTTGACATTATGCAGTTACAAAGTATCATCTTTGTAGTGACTGATATCAAGACAATACAGTGAACTTTATGTTTATTTTTTAGGTAAGGTTTATAACAGGAAATAATTACAGTCTAATAGTTCTAGGTAATCAGATACAGCCCAGTCAGACCATTATGTGCCCTCAGCTGCACCTTAAACTTTTAATTCCTCTGCTAGCATCAGCTGAATGTCCAAGTACTCCACATAGGTTAACAAGGTGTGTAAGAACAAGACAGAAAAGCATCCTCAAAGACATAGTCCCAGAACTTACACTAAAACATTTTGATTAGTACATTATGGTGCTTTAGGAAAAGAAATGATGGAGATAAAGAAGGGACATTTACCTCCATTAACAGAGTGGGATCTATTGAGTGGAGGGTTTGGAAGAGTTTCTCCTTCATTAATTAGTCTCAGATCTTGCTCCCTCTGTAGCTCTCTGATCATTCCATCAAGGATACTCTCATCCTGGTCATTAGTTTGCTGCCCGATGACTTGTTCAACTACTTCGCCATCACCTTGAAAGAATAAAGCCACAACTGCTTACAAAATTATTTCTGTTTTACTAAACACCATAGAAACAATCAAACTTAAAATTATGTACAATTGTCTGTCTGCCCTGCAAAACATCTGATCACCAGTCGGTCTTCTGCTCTCATGTAATAAATGGAGGCAAAGTTTAAAAGAGTAGTTATAATAAAAACCTAAAATAAAAGACCACACGTAAAATATAAACACAAACCCTTAAAAACAGCAGAAAGAAATAATACTTCAGTAGGTAATAATGGAAGATCTCTTCTGGAGACCAGCATTTTGCAAAAGTTTATATCTACAAGGAAAAAAAACTGTTTTAAGAAACAAAAGGTATTTTTTCAATATCCATCTTACCTTCCTGCTTCCTTACTCACATACACAGTTACACTGAGGCCAATGGGACAATACTTCATGCATGCTGCCATACACCTGGTAGAAGTCCACAGATTTCAGAATACTGCGGTCTCCTCGTCTTGCCTGCAGTCACAGTAATTCCATACACTTCCTTTACGCCATAAAGCCACCCTATCTCCTCTTCTACCTCTATACTGAATTTAAACCACTAGTTTGAGAAGACAACTGAAACATACAAATCCTTACAGTATCATCATACTGAGCTGGTGCTCAATACTGTGCAATACATGTATTATGCATGAGTTTTAGACAGCATACCATTAGCTACGTATCCCAGCTGAGGAATAAGTTGTTCATCCTTGCAATTTTCCCTCCCTGGTACCAGCCGCTGGAATCTCGTGGGATGAGGATTTCCATCAACATCCACCAAGAATGGAGGAGGCATAAGATGTGGAGCCTGTTGAGTCTGTTCATCCAACACATAGTTATTTGCATCACGGATCAGTGGTCGGTAATCCGTATGGAAGAACATCTGATCTGGAATCTGCAAGACAGGCAATCTAGTAAATAAATCAATGGCCATTTGCAGCTGTCTTGCTGCTTTGGAATGGCTCCCATACCACAACTCCTACACTTAGGATCAGCAGAAGAAATGTTATGACAGAGAACAGATTCCTACCACAAATGTGGTTTACTACCAAGGCCTGATGCAAAAAATTCAATAGTAAAATATGCCAACAGAGGTGAACAGATAATGTTAATGCTTTGTTTCCCTGTCTAGAGATTCTCTTGTCTAAATCCTTTTGATTTAGGTAAAAAGCAACTGCTTCATGATCTAATTATTATTTTGTCTGGGGCAGGGCAAGAGAATAAACTGTAACACAAATACTTCTAAGACAAAATTAGGTCAAGACACAGAAGAGTTTAAAATTAATTTAACCCACCTTTTCATAATATTTATTGCATCCAAACCCAAATAGTAGCAGATGTCCATGAGAGTCTGTGCACGCAAAATGCTGTCCATCTGGTGAGAACTTGCAATCAAAAACAGCTCCATGGCCTTGGCCCTCAATCTGTATACAAGCACAGAGCATTCCTTTCACAATCATGCATTCTCCACAAGAGCATTTTTACAAAAATTTCACCTGTGCTCCAAAAAGTATGTAATCCTAATTGTGTAATTTCTCATCTCGCTCGAGACTGATGTGCACTCATATTTTTTCCACTTAATTATTAAAGCTCCACTGAACAATGAAGTAAAACCTTCCATTTTCTCTTTGTCCTGAAATTTCAGTACAACTTTTAATGTATGTTCTGAAACAACGACCTAGAAGTCTACATTGTATGTTAATGGAAGACATAGGGCAAGCCTGCACCAAAGATCTCAGACATGTATTGGCTCCGTACAAGCAGGTTTCACAGCCCCAAGTGCCAAGAGGCTAGCTCAGGTCCTGAAGCAGTACAGCTGCATTTGCTCAGCACTGGAACCAAACCAACAAACCTGGCACTGGGCGCATTAAGATAAATGCAGCACAGAGCCAACCATACTGTTTCCCAGACCACAGCATTGTGCTACAACACACAGGCTTACTGGTTTTCTTTGCTCTACCCTGGGAGTCACTATAATCTTTTGCACGGTATAACCATGCCCATACAGATGAATAATATTCAGATGTAACAGATCCCATGAAAGACTTGCTGCTACACCTACAATATGCAAAAACATACCTTGATATTGCTTACTGAGGAGTACATGGTTTTCTTTTTAGTATGTAGGAGTTTTCCCCTAATCCTGTTGTAACATTGGTCACAACAGGTATATAATGAAATCTGCTTTTGCCTTAAGATCAGTTTTACACAATTGTGGAAATAACTAACTAGCTAACTAAATAAATAAATAAAACCCCAACCCTTCCCTGATCATTCTTACCATGTTAAAGTAATTGCGAATTTTTGTTCCTTTGTCTATATCCCAAACAAAAATATTTCCATCGTGACCCGCCGAAAGTACAATCCTTTGGTCAAACGGATGGGCTTCCAGAACAAAAACTTCATCATCGTGACCCTGCAATGAAAGCATGGTGAAAAAGAAAGTAATATTTCTCCATGTAATATCTCCAAACATGCTAGTATTTAGTGTGAGGACATCTCAGTTCAGGTAGTCATCCATGACAGCTCAATTTACTGGATCTTAGACTAGAACTGTATTTAGTCAACATTTCTGTCAGAGACTTGGCATTATCTCTGCCCACTTTGTAAGTGCCTCGGACTGCAGCTCAGCACAGCTGAGATGGACAAGGATGGGGAGGAAGAAGAAATCAGCAGTGAGGACAGCTGCGGCCCTCTAATTTGAGCACAAACGGTGGCCTTCAAAGGGCTCCCTTGTCAGCCAGCAATCACCAGGGTCTAGCAGCATTTTGGTCATCAGCTCCTTTCCCCGTGATACATACTCCTCACAATAAATATAAGACAGGTGGCATACTTCAAGACAAAACACTCCTCATCAGGGGGAACGATGATGCAGTTTAGCCTCAAATCAGTTTCAGAGTTGAACTATAACCATTTGGGATTACCCACTTGAATTTTACTCACAGATAAGCTGTGAAGAAGCTGCCCTGTGGACGAGTTCCACACTTTGAGAAGGAAATTGTTGACTGCAGTGATGACAGTGGTATCATATCTATCCCAAGCCACCATAGTAACCTTCAGTTTAGTTACCTTGTCCTCCCCAGATGCTACATTGTTCCTAAGGAAATCAATAATTTAAAGAAGAAATAAATCAGTAACAACATACAGAAACGTTTAACAGTACTAATTCAGTATGAAATTAGGGACAGCATGGCTGCTACCACTGTGACTACTGGCTAATGCAGGAGAATGAAGGATGGCTTCTGTAGCGGTAAAAAACGGATAGAGAAAATATTCAGTACCAGTTTATAGAGTTTTATTTCCTTAAAAAGGACAAGTTTCTTTTCTGTTCTTCTTAAGCGATCACCCTTGCCTATCCCAATTCTTTCTTTCAAGCAATTCAGTTCTATCAAGTTTTTTCCTACAAGGCATTTTTCTTATCAGTCATTAATATGAGTAAATTGTATAATGAGCAAGAATGTGCTAAATAAATCCAAATCATACTTCGACACTGTATTGGGTTTTTGTGGCAAGGTTTTGATAGCAGAGAGGTTACAGGGGTGGCTTCTGTGAGACGCTGCTAGAAGCTTCCCCTGTGCCCGACAGAGCCCGTGCCAGCCGGCTCCAAGATGGACCTGCCACCGGCCAAGGCCGAGCCCATCAGTGATAGCGGTAGTGCCTCTGTGATAACATATTTAAGAAGGAAAAAAAAAGTTACAGCAGGCACAGAAATGGCAGCCAGAGAGAAGAGTGAGAACATTTAAGAGAAACAACCCTGCAGACACCAAGGTCAGTGCAGAAAGAGGGGACGAGGTGCTCCAGACACCGGAGCAGAGATTCCCCTACAGCCCATGGGGAAGACCATGGTGAGGCAGGCTGTCCCTCTGCAGCCCATGGAGGTCCACAGTGGAGCAGATCTCCACCTGCAGCCCGGGGAGAGAGGACCCCACGCTGGAGCAGGGGGATGCCCGAAGGAGGCTGTGACCCCATGGGGGACCCACTCTGGAGCAGTGTGCTCCTGAAGGACTGCACACCATGGAAGGGACCACCCTGGAGCAGTTCGTGAAGGACTGCAGCCCATGGGAAGGACCCACGTTGGAGAAGTTCATGGAGGACTGTCTCCCGTGGGAGGGACCCCACACAGGAGCAGGGGAAGAGTGTGATGAGTCCTGCCCCTGAGGAGGATGAAGCAGCAGAAACAACGTGTGATAAACTTACTGTAAACCCCATTCCCCATCCCCCTGCGCCGCTGGGCAGGGGGAGTAGGTAGAGAATCTGGGAGAAGTTGTGCCCGGGAAGAAGGGAGGGGTGGAGGGAAGGTGTTTTGAGATTTGGTTTTACTTCTCATTACCCTACTCCCGTTGATTGGCAATAAATTAAGTTAATTTTCCCCAACTTGAGTCTGTTTTACCCATGACAGTAATTGGTGAGTGATCTCTCCCTGTCCTTATCTCAATCCACGAGCCCTTTGTTATATTTTCTCTCCCCTGCCCAGCTGAGGTGGGGGGAGTGATAGAATGGCTTTGGTGGGCACCTGGCGTCCAGCCAGGGTTAACCCTCCACAGACAGCTAACTTATTAAAAATGTAACTATATGAAATATAAAGAATTCTGCAAAGCAAAATGCCTAATAGATTTCTCCATTTCTGCTTTTTGTTATTGTGCATATTCAATTACAAGGCCATTTACAGAAGTCACTTGAGGATCTCAGAAAGAAAAACTCGAAACCCTAACTGAACCTGAGAACCAAATCACCATATCTCACCTCTTACTTGAAAACTTAAGGAAAAGTACAATGTTAAGAAACATGCTGGACATATATATAAGCATATCAGCATGTGATCAATGAGGTTCTACTAAAACCTCTTTCTGTGAGATGAACTCTGTTTGACATTCTTACTTTGTATATACAATACTAAATATTCCGCAACTATTGGAGTAGGGAACTACCAATGTATTAATCTTTTCTTTTGGGGCCTAATTAACTGTGTAACTTAACAGATAGAGCCACGGCATTTTCAATACACAAAAAACATGCACTGAAGTTAACTCAAAAATGGAAGTAAATAAACAGTTTTCAATACGATGGAAGATTTTGGGTTTTGTGTAAACGTGGCTATGAAGTATATTCTGTTTCGGTTTGGTTTACCCTGTCATTTTAGTAGCCATATCCAGGACCACACTCTTCCAATCTTGCTGCTGATAGTGCCATATTCTTGCTGTTCCATCTCTGCTTCCACTGACAAATCTTAAGCTATGGAAAAAAAAAAAAAAAAAAGAAAAAAAAAGTAATGAAATTCTGAATAAGGATAAGTCACCGCTGCTTTTGGTCTAATACCCACATGCCCATCATAAGATCTTATTCTCTCACTATTCAGTAGCTTCGCTATGGAGTTTTCCATCCTCAGCAACAGTGTGGGCATGCTAAATCCTGTGGCAAGAATATTTAGGAGCTTGGCAGAGGACTGTCATTCACCTTAGAAAACGTCGCTACAAGCACTTACTTTTATGTTACTCTGCAACAAATGTGTACACACACACATGTACACAAATATATATATACATACTTGTGTATATATACTTGTCTTACTCTCTATATGCCCACACATAGGCGTGTTTAACAACTCATAAATATCCATGAACTACTGCCACAGGAAACAGGCAGCTACAGAACACTGGCAAGCCAAGAGCACACCCATTCACACCAGCACAGAAGCTAGAATGTATTTAATCTTTTTTCAACACTTATTCTTTATATTGTTTGTGCATCTCTGATGTAGAGAATGTAATTAAAAGACAGTGAGGTTACAATTTTCATATCAGATATTGTACGGTACAAAAGAGTTTATATCCCACAACATTAATTACATTTGGTTACAGCTAGCAGATGGCCTTGGAATGACTTCAATGTCGTAATTCATACAAGCTGCACATTCCCTTTTTAATGACATCAGCAAATCTCTGGAGCAGTTCATAGTGGCAGCAAAGAAAGAAAAACTGCATGCCAGGAGTCTAGCATAAATTATAATACATTAACTTAGGGAGAGGGTGAAGACAGGGAAGGGAAATACCCAAGTTGAACACAAGTAGGTAACCCTGCCTGCGAAGTTGAATATGAGTATTTTCTTTTTTAAACTCCTCCTTGTTTAAAAAATTCAAGCATCCAGCAAAAGCAGTTAGCTACATCATAATGCTTTGTCTATCAATGTCACAGAAATCATTTTTGTTGAGAATTTTTAAAAAAGCTCCTCAAGTAATACATTTTCATAGGATGGCCAACACCTTTAAAAAAGTATATTCCTTTTACATACAAAATTACATGTAAAAGGCAAGCCTATTCAATTTTATTTTAATAAGTGATTGTTTCCCCTTTTCAGTTTCCCTGATCTGAATTTTTTCATCATGATGAAAAACGGTTAAAAAATGCTTGTGACAGGTTTATTTTCTTTTTGTTTTTACTTCTTTATATTAAAATAAAAAGGAAGCTATCACTTTTCCATTAAAAGCATCACTATAGCATATAATTTTCAGTGACTATGTGACCTAATACCCCCACTGAGACCTGTGCTCTCACAGTGCTTGGAAGGAACTGTTAGTACAATTATAGCAGTACATTCCCACATAATTTTACATGACAAAGATCTCCAAGTACAGGTGCAGTTCCACTGGCAAAGCTACAGTTTTGCTTGGAAGGCTCCTGCTTGCACATATCCCTTAAACCTCCTGCCAATCAAAATAAAGAATATGAGCAAAAGCTGGCATAAGCCCATTTACATTAACATGTTGATCACTAATCAAAGCTTGTCACGCCACTCTCCAACACAGCTGTGCTGCAGAAGTTTGACACACAAACACGCCTGTAGGCACCTTTATACGTTTTATCATGAGCATCCTGACTTTCATTGCTGCATAAGAGAGAGCATCCTGACTTAGCACAGTTGTAAAAATTGAAAGCTCTGCAGGTTGGAATGGTTCGCTTCATAAACTTTAAGACCACATGATTACTGTTATCATCTAAACTAATTAACTGGAAATTCACATATTTGCCTAGAAATTCACATATTTGCCAGGTATGTCAGAGATAAGTAAATTATTATGAATAATAAAGCAGACCAATTAACCAAAGACTGCAAGTTCAGAGAGCATGTGATGTGCGTGTAGAGTAACTGTCCCATATACTCAGCTCCAGAAACTAGTCAAAGTAAGTACTGTAGCTCATCATTAGTCACATAAATGAACACAGACTCACACAGTCTTCACTCCAGGAAACGTTAAGATTAACCCATTGAACGTGACATTAGGTGATGTTAAGCTATCCAGATGTACTGGTGACTCAGTGAAGACTAAAGAGAGTGGGTTGCAAGGAGACACCACAAAAATATGGTAGGACACTACTGAAGTATTACATAAAAAAAATCCAAAACCTTGTGGAAAGCCAAACAATTGTAATGAGAAGAACATGTGTAAAGGAGAGTTTTAATCTCAAATGCAGACAAATTAAGCAGGGGAATTTTATCTACTAAGCATCTACTCCTGGATCCAAATTTGGGATGCGAGGATCAACTGCACATTTACATCCCATTGAAGAGCTATTCTTTGCTTATTCCCCCTTGGAAGTAAGTCAGGTTTTTGGGGTTTGTTTTTTTTCTGGCAATTTCAGAGTTACAAAAATACAAGATGAAGGATGAGGGCCTGTTTATTCATCCTATCATGTTTATCACTCTAGAACCTCACAGAAGTTGAGCTCTTATGAATTTTGAGTGTGTTCATGAAAACAAACACTCTTCCCACATTTTTCAGAACTCTGAGCACCAGAAGAGACAACTTGCTTTTTCAATGTGCCCAGAGAGAGACTTGCAAAAGAAATCATTCACAAAGGAATTAAATGAGACAGATAGTAAAGGGTGGATGGCCTTATGTTTCAGCAACATATCAGCAATGTCATATTATTTGGAAAATGTTTTCAAATTATGCTAATCGCTTGCTGCTTTCTGGTCCCCAGCTGGTATAAATGATACAGATAACATATGCAAGAGAAGTAAATTTTAACAAAAAACCCAAACATATACATAACCTATCAACAACACTATCAGGTTCAACATGATTCTTATATGGATCATAAATAAGAGCACAGTGAAGTAATGAAAAAAAAAAACAAACCCAAACAAAAACCCCCAAGATAAAAGGTAGTTCTACAGTTCCTTGTTTTCATTATGCATGATACTCATCATTTAGATGCCACTATTTCCTTGATTTCCTTCCATTTCACTTCTGACAACACACCAAGTCTTATTTCCCCTTTCATGTTTATTTTCTTTTCATAAATGACTGCACTGAGTTTGTACCTCCTTTCGGTCAGTGCAGACAGCATTGCTCAGATGCTAATCTAAGAGCCTACTTTTTTGGAAGTCAGAGTGTCACATTCCCATACTACTTACTACAGAGAGGACAGAGCAAGAGCAGTTGGTAAAGTAGTGGCCTCCTCATCTGTGCCCCAGTACAGAAACAAGGGAATATATCTGCTTTGAATGTAAAAGCTACCAAAAGTGCTCCTGTCATTGGTAGCTTGGCCTCCCCTTTGCCTCTAACTTGGCCATCAGCACTGGCTATGTCTGGCAAACAGACATGTGGTACAGTCACCATGCTACCCCTTTTGTTTCCTGCAGCTCCAGAAAAACAGATGCCCAAAAGTCACTAACTCAAACAACAGCCACACAGATAAACAAACATGTGTATGTGCTTATTTTTCATCTTGCTCTAACAGGACTGAAATGATAAAGCCAACAAGCTTTTTTCCCCCACATTTAACCTGATGTTCTAGTTAAGAAAAAATAAGAAAGAAAAGTAATTGAGAAACCAAATCCCTGATCCCATTATAAACAATGAATATACTCAGATGTTTTACCACGTAAAAGCACCTCGCAAGAGAGGCTCCTTTAATGAAGATCAGACCTGCAGACTTACTTGTCTGACCATCTGTGTATGTGTAACAGTTCTAACTTTTGCTTCAAAGTACATTTATTATAATGCTCTTACTCCAGAAGTAACCCTTTCTGTATTTAACAAGGCTACCTGTGAAGACACTCTTACAAAATTTGGTTTCCAATTTGCTCAGTTTAAAAAAATACAAAACAAAAGCACAGTTACAGAACATTTTTGTTGTTACAGCAGAAGGCAGCAAGTCCAAGTTTGTGGATATGACACACATCTTGCAATGTACTTTGAGCAATTTGTCTAGATTAATCAGAGCCCATTTGGTCCTGTTGCACCAAATTTTCTCTGACAAGTTATTTGGAAAATTAAATACCATACTTCTCATGTCAAAATCCCAGGACAGCCACTCACCTGTCACCATTGTTACAGAACTGGACTGCAACCACTTTGTCCTAAATAGAAGACAGGAAAAAAATAGTAGTAAGTGCTTTGTAAACTGAAACACTCATCCAAAAAGATCTTAATGATCAGCTTCTATTTAGCAAATTGCATCTTCCTGTACACCTCCTACAACATACTATCTTACAAATTTAAGAACAGAAAAGTCACATTTGAAGCTAAAACTTGCCCAGGCATATTGTGTTAAACATTGAAATAGAAAACTTCAGAGGTGATGGTTTCGTGTTGCTCCAGAAGTAGCTCAGAGACAGAAACGATTTCTGACTCAGTCTCCCTGACTCTTAGACCTTCAGGAGGAAGAAGCTGCAGCAGCTCTGTTCTTGTCTGAGCACAGTCTTCCTGCACAGTGCCACAGGACCGTACATACCCCTGGGTAAGCTCTGCCTGGGGAACTCTGCACCTTTTAGACTCCGCAGAGTTAGCAGGAATAAGGAACCTCAGGAGCTCACAAGGCCTGGTAGGTACAGCACTCAACAAGATGGAGAAAGAATCACTTAACCGAATAAATGATCACAGCAGGTTTGCAATTTTTAGACCTAATGTTAAAGTGCATCAAAACATTTCATCAAAAAAATGCAAACCTTGGCTTTATTTCCACTTTTCAATTGTTGAGAAACAAATGTTATGTTTTAGACATGGTTTTGCAATTTTTTTATTTTGCTAAATACTTGTGTTGGCTACATGCATTTGCTATCTTCGCTCCCACTGACGTCTCTAGCTCCTGATAACCAAGTGCCCAGTTCAGGTTTTTTTTTCAGGGGTGGGCTGACAGCAGTCTGTGGTATGAAGAAGAGCAGACTTTCAAAAATAAAAGGAATTACGGTTTATACCAAATATGAACTGCTGAATATAGAAAACATTTTTTCTTTTGTGAGCAAAATACTTGTTAGATTTGTTGGTTTGGAGGTCTGAGACTTAAATGTGAGAGCCATGACTCCCACTGAAGTTCAGTGAATCAATTTAGACCTCAGCTTTAATCCATAAAATATTGTTAAGGTGGGCAGCTGGGCTATTAAGGTTCAAAGACAAATGCTCTGAACTCCTCACAAGTGACAGCCCTATCAGTGTTGCTATAAGCTTGCCTTTCTGATATATTGTTTACCATGCACATAATAAATAATGCAATCATCACCTGCTCTCGGTAACAACTAAGAAATGAAGAAAGATTTTATATTGCTTTAGTGATGCTTCTTTATGGGGTTTCATTAAAACTGAAACATTCAACAGTTTTAATAAAAGCTATCAAGACTCAAACTCAAAAACTATCATTGAAAGTCATTGTACAGATATTTTAAATAGTTCGAGTTTTTACGAAAACCCTTCTGCATTACCTGAGAAAGGATGCTTTTAAGCTTGCTTTATTTTCTAAATGAAATTACCATCATGATCCAAAGTTTGACTGCACACTCTAAAACCAGAATTACTTTGTTTTTTCTTGTTATGTGAATTTGTGGTCACAACTAAAGTTAAACACTCAAGAGTAAATTTAATAGGAAAAATCACATCATGCATGAAAACTGCTTTAATTCTTCATTCCAACACAGACTTTCTTCAAGAATATGGGAAAATCATCTAGTCCCTCAGTTTGCTGGGGGAATGAAATACATAAAGCATATTTTGCACACATCTTCTGCCTCAGAGGAATTTAAAAATAAACATACCACAAATTTTCAGGCATTTAAATACCAGAGCGTTGAGAGCCAGCTCAACTCTAAAGACAGAAAACAAGTCAAATAAGATGTACAAAATTGAAGTTCCTGAAATAAGGTAAAGCAGGGAAAAAAAAGATTTGCTTTCCTATTTGTCTCTTACCGTATGAGATTCTAACTCAGCCATTTTCTCCGGAGATTCTGAGCCCAAATAATAAATTCTTATCACGTGGTCAGTACTACCTGTTGCAATGAACATGCCACCTAAGAAAGACAGTGTTTTCTGTGAGAAGAAAAGCCATCCAAGGAACAACTGACTTTAATTACTGCTTTATTGTCAAAGCAGCAAACTGCAGTTTTAAATAGAAAATTTCAATGTAATCAAAACATATGTCCTGAACAAAGCAGTTAACTCTGACAAATTCTGCTTTGTTCTGTATTTTCTCAGACCATATCAGCTTTGAACTATGAGCTCTACAATATTTTCCAGTTGCAAACCTTTATGACCAAAGGAAGAGAATATTGCAAGTTACAACATTCATCCAACAAACTATTCTGCTTTGCCTCAGAAATTAACACAGCGTTCTTCATCAGCCTATGTGGAAAATTAGATGGGGAATAGTTTCATGTTCTCACTGGTAAATATCAAAGAAAATATTTAAGCACACCTTCAACATCTGTTTGACACACATCAGAGAAATTATGGCTGAATCAGGAGTCAGTGATTAAGCTTTTTTTTGTAATGTTTGTTCTATTTACAATATTGCACAAAAAGGGGACTATTGTGTAGTTTACTGCATTGAAATGGTTTTAGTTATTTCAGGATTTCTGGTTTTAAAAAAGGAATGTGGGCAAGGCTCGCATGCCTCTAGAACAGCTCTCAATTTCAGATAGCAAAAATTAATGAGAAATTACATAATTTTGTTTCTAAAAAAATCACTATTTTTGAGAATTCAAAGCCGCAACAAAGGATGTCAGTTAAGCTAACATTTTCAATCACATCGAAATGATCCTCCTAGAACTTAGCCAAATGTGGAAGATTAGCAAAAGTGTAACCTTCGAACAGAGGCCACCTGACTGCCAGATTTCAAGAACTTTTCACTCAAAAACTTTACAAGATAAAACCTTAAAAGGACGTTACAAAGAAAAATCTCTGATGTGCAAAACAACAGACTGAAAGCATAGTCTTCCTTGGAAGTAAATCAAGACATTTTATCTTAAATCATAGAAAAAAAAGAGAGAAAAAGCAGCTTGAGGCAGATGCTTAGCATGGAAAATTTCAAACAATCACAATTTTACAGTGCTATAATTAACTGAAAAGGGGTTTAATACCATTTGTATTAAAAAAGAAGTAACAGTCCTGTCACTAAAGGAATTATAGTTCATAAAATACTTTCAGCTACCTTACAATGCATACGTACCGGAACTGAAAGATGAACAAGATATCTGAACACCAGGCCTGGACCTCTCTGCAAATTTTACAGGGCGATCCCTATATGCAACAACATAACATTTTTACTTTTCATTACTTTATTCCGATGCTGTTCAACAAGAATAGTGCACTGCAGCTCAGCAGGTTAAGGTCAGTTGGCCCATCCTAAGTCTCTTTATTTCAGAATTCTCACCTAAGCTTGCTAAAACTTATTTTTCATTTTTGTAATTTTCTTCCTTAGTTTAGTAAGAAAACTATCATTTTCTAAATTGAAAAGACTATTTAACTTATTTATCACGATACTCACCAATTCAAATCTATTTAAAACAGAACCTGGCGAACGGTTAGTCTAATAACATTTACTCCCTATTAAGTATGAGTTTGATGTCGTCTACATATGTGTGCTGTTCTGATTAAAAGCAAATAAATTCTTCTGCCTGTACATTTTGGACAAGGATTTAGTCCTAAGCATAAAAGCTGAAAGTTCTTCCACAACACTGGCTTGCAAAGCACAAAACCCAGAAATAATAGCCCTGATCTCTGCCTCCCCTATGGGTTGTAATGCCATAGACTCCCTGAAAGCTCTCCCTGCCCCACACACTGGTATGGCACTCCTGCACAGTGTGTCTATGGGAGAACTTATCCCGAGAAACTTGTTTATTGAGAAAGAACATGCCCTTATTTAATTATCTCAGCATTCCTCTCCATGCTAAAACTCAAAATAAATTCGTCCTTTATTCAAGATAATTATAATTATCTAAACAGGCTTACTTAAATTTCATGGTGTTAGCGTGCCACTGCCAGAAACAGATTGTTCCGTCAGCACCAGTAGAAGTGAGGTATCGTGTTGTTCCTTTCCTTGCGGGAGAGAACTAAAAATAAAGTTGTAACAGTTAAACCAACTAATTTCTTTCTCCCCTTACATGCTGGAAACTTGTAAATAGATGTTGATACAAATCTTTTTCACGAATATATTAGCTTTCTCACCGGGAGTAGAGAGAGCAGTATGAGGGATAATCACAGAATCTGAGCTTCCATAAAAATAAAGCTGAGGAAATGGAAAACACCTACATTTTGACTAGCAAGTCTTTGTTTCTACCACATAAAAGTTAGTAAATTGGGGAAGTGAAACAAGCCTAGACCCTTTTAATGGGGCAACAAGATGAGGAATTACTTCTTTCTGTGATAGAACTGGATCAAATACGGTAACAAAGACAAAAATGATTCCTGCATCCAAGCCCAACAAAAACCAGCAGCACAGTAGGACTCCCACTCCCTCCCTCTTCCTGAACCTCTCCTCTGCCTCTCTAAGGAGTAGGAAATCTTTTCATTCCGAAGTCTCTCACTTTAATTTCGTAACTGCAGCAATACCTTTAAACCTCGGCTATCTGGTTTTTGATAAAGGGATCAAGCACTGGTTCCTCAAAAAGCCATGACTGATTGTGATTGTTGTCTAAATTACCAGAGTTTTACAAAAAACTTGTGAGTGATGCATTAACATATCACATTAACAAATAATATACAAAACCAGGTTGTAAAATATGTCTCCAAAACAATCACCTTAAAGTAACTAACTTGTGGCATAGTGAAAATCAGATGAAATTGGAAGTGTAGGCAAGAGGGGAAGAAATGAGACTCCCAGGGACTACTGGCATGTTGGAGAAGACTGTGATGAATCTAAGGCAGCAAAGCTCCAGAAGAGAGGGATTCTCGTTTCCCATGTGTTCTCCCCTCTATGTGCATAACCTGCCAAATTGCAGGGATTGCCTTTTTTATCCTGGAATTTTATTTTGTTGGAGGTTTCTGCCTGGCAGTTGTGGGTTTTTTAAAGCAAATAAACTGCAAAATACTAGCCATTACTGACTGTGCCACCACTAGACAACTGGGTGTCAGCAGTTTAGTCTTTTTTGCTTTGTCCTGCTCCGCTATTGCTCACTGGGCACTTGCCACACAACTGAAACTGCATGGGCGCAAGCGCAGATTATCTGTGCTGTACTGCGGCTGCTGCAGTGTCTATGTATGGTACAATATCCAGAATGGCTCTTTATGGTACAGGCTAAGATAACGAGCAAATAAGCAATGTGAAATAAAGATTTTCAGCTGACAGTATTCCTCTGAAATATAAACATTCTCTGCGAACACACGACTGTTGGTTCAACCGCTATGCAAGGACTATCACCAGAGATGCCAGCCATGTCTCCCTGGCTCAGCTCGTTGATCTGATGCTCTCGGTAGCCATGCATTTGCTAGATCTAAGGAAGCAGCAATGGGACCACATAGTTAAAGGCAGCTGGAAGAAGCAGGATCATCCCCTCAGGCAGTTGTTGGCCACTGTGCAGGACTGAGTTTGCCAGGAAACAACGCCCTCGAGTTGGGGCAAATCTAGGCGCCAGAGATGAAAAGATATACTTGATCCCCGATTGCTAATCCACATCTCTTAGTACCATTTTAATTCAAGGGTTTAGAAAAAAAATGTCATTCCTTACCTGTATGGAAGTAATGGAAGCTGAATGGCCCTGCAGCACTGCAACTGGGGCACAGGTTCGAAGACACCATACTCGGACTACTTTATCACAACTGCCTGCAGCAAGCAGTGTGTTCTCGTAGTTAACAGCCATGTCAGAAATTTCAGCTGAGTGTCCTCGCAACGTTGAGAGCAGGCGCCCATCATCTGTAGCCCAGATTTTGACCAAACAATCATCTGACCCCTAATGGCACACAAAAATTTCCAAAGATTATATAAAATAACATACACGTTTTATGTGCGCATAATACACATGTGCACTGTAGACAAACAGGTATCTAAAGCACTATTGCGTCATGAACCTGCCAGAAGAACAACTTCAGCGGGATTCCACAGAGGCACAACTATCTGAGTTTGGGAATCACCTTGTGGGGTCAGGAATTTAGATATTTATAAAACAGAAGCCACTCTCTTATGTTTCATACTAAGATATGATTACTGCTGTTAATACAACTCCTCTCAGTACAGTTCAGTAGTAATTAAAGTAAATTTAAGAAGATAAAATGTTTCATTACATACTACCAAAAGACCTATTTATCTGTGTGAGCCAGATCAAGCCAGTAGTAAAATCAAAGTGATCATAAGACTTAAGCTCTAAGGAAAAATAACACTTAAGCATCTGAGGGATCTCAGAGCCTCTGCCGTGCTCCTGGAGCCGTAAGGCAGCTGTACTATGAGGTTCAATTTCTGTTAACAGAAGAAAGTTGGACCACTCAAAGAAAGAAACCATGCAACATCACATGCAACTGAAATGCGATTTCAGTGAGATTTCAGTTCCGGACAGGACACAATTCAAAAGCATATCCAATGCATATCACTGTAAAATATTTTTACTTATAGTAGCAGCTACATAATTTCATACTTAATCCCAATATTACCAAGAATTTTTAGACAGTTCACAGACCTTTCCACTATTCAGATACTACAAAGAATACTAACACTAGGGGGCTAGGATTGCTACTATATATTCAGGAACATAACACAATAAAACTAACTGCAATATCAACATCATTTGACTTTAAATTACATTTTATTAACTGCAGCTAAATTCAAACACAAATCACTTTCAGTTCTTCATATAACTGCAGATGAGAAAGATTTCTTTATGGCATAAACGAAAATGGAAAGGCCCTCACTGTGACCCAGAGTAATTATCATTAACAACATCTCTATCTGACCAATTTATGAGTGGAGAAGCTAGCAAGAATACAAAGGCAACAATTAGCCTGCCAGATAATCTGTTTCTAAACTCCTATTGATAAGAGACAAGGGCAAAGACAAGACAAGACAGAGATTAACATTAACAGTTAAAAGATGCATTGTTAATTTGAAAAAGCTGTTAATTTTTAAATATGCACAACAAAAAGCAAGGGCAATATCACAGAAATGTATGTTAATATATTCTAGAGAAAAACTTAAAATAATATTCATATATTCACTGACATACTACAAGTTCTAGAAAGTAAATTTAGTTGAGAAGTAAATTGTAGATGAAGTAATGAGGTCTTCTATTCATCAACAAGTTTTTACTGAAATGTAAGGAAAGGATTGCCAGCATTTCCAAGGTTACCAAAAGGTAAAACGTAGTTTTAAAAAAAGTGTTAAGATTTAACCCAGCAAGCAGCATGCAAATTAAATCCAAATCCCAGAACACTGCAGGTGCCATTCAGCAAGAAAGATGATAAATAAAGAAGAATGAGCACATGTCTCAAGTGAGGGTTGCAAGCTTTGGACCGGAACAACCCTGCTGTAAGGTTCTACATGGGGAAGCAAACAGCTGACTAAGTTTCAGTCTACCAGAGCCATGAGCAATTTTAAAATACCAAGTCAAGTGAAAAGTGAAAATTAGCATAGAAAGAGATGGGTTTTCCATACATTTAAAGATTTTTCTTCCCTTCTTTTTCTGGAAGCCATGCCTGCATCTCAATCAGTGACTAAAAGGCTGTTGCAGGACTCAAGAAAGAAAGAAAGAAATCAAACCAAGCAAAGCAATCTTCCAAGAAAAGTAAAATTTTTAAACTTACTGTAAAAATTCTTCTCCCACTGCGATCAAAGGCTATACAATAAACAGATGATAGATGTCCCAAAATCCTCTTATGCATTTTCATGTGTTGGTAGGTGGACGTTGGGAACAAGTGGCTGAAACGTCCATATCCAGTTAATTGCCTGGCAGAAATTATATTTACTGGGAGAAAAAAACAAAACAAGAGGAAAACAAATACATTAATTTTGACCAGAGCTCAAAGTAAATAAATATTAAATCAAATATAACATTTGGTAACAGCTTTATTTTTATAATCAATAAATCAGAGCCCCTTCCACCTTATCAGAACATTCTGTACAGTCTTGTAAAAAGAAAGCCCACTCCTGATGAAGCCTTTCAATATCTACCACACCACACATTGCACCTGCTTTCTTATACAAAAATTAAAGCAAAATAAAGCTCCCATCACAGCTAGAAGTTATTCCAAGTGTTCAGTTCATGAACAGGCAACAGGTACATTTATTCTACATGGATTTGGCAAACATGGTATTAGTAACATATAATTTCCTTAAAACAATTACGACAAATTTATTTTTTGAGTATAATAATAGTTTAAGTGCTTTTTTTGTGATCAAAATCCTTCTTTGAAATGAGTTCCAGATCATACGTGAGGGTCAATGGTCTTCCACATGTTCCTCACAAAACCTCTCTCATTATAAGCAGCAGCAGCAACATCGATGCATTTCTGTGGCAATGTAACTGAAGAATAAGAAATACGTGGCACTAATGGAAAAAGCCCCAGTCAAAAGAATGGCAAGCACAAGAAAAAACTGCAACAACAACAAATTATTTCATATTGCTAAACCTAGGAGTCCTTACAAGAACAGCCTGAAATCTAAATACAGAAAAACATCATGTAAAAAAGCACTGTTAGCAGTTTCACTGATGATAACTATGAATCTTTCCACTAGACAAGAAAAGGAGGAAACAGGCACTCATGTGCCTTTGCTGGCTTATGGCTGTAGAACACAGAAAGATCCTAATTCTAATCTTTGATTTGATGCGTAATCTGAGATCATTTGGGGTACTGAATTTCACCTATCCTAATTTATACCACTTGAACTTTGGATTTTAAAGTTTTGAGAGTTTTTCTTCAATGGCACTTAAGGATCTAACATTGCTATATCAGTGGGTTTCGCTGAGTCCTTGCGATAGCAGGCTCCCTGAAGAAACCCCTTATCTTGTCTACTGCACATTGAAGTAGGCAGGGCTTCACAGGAGCGGCACGAAGCTCTTTAGTGCCTTTCAGTCCTTTCGTTTAAAAGTATAGTGAACAACTTGACCCATTTTCTTAATTGTATCAACGTATCATTGCCTATCTACACAAAAAAGATCATGGAACATGTTAAAAAAAAATCTACAAAGTCAAGAAGCACCATTTCAAAGGGTTACTAACCCATAACACTTCTGTAAATTTACACAACTGAAGTATTTATATGCAAGCAGAGAGATAAATGGGCAAGGAAAATAAATTGTTTCCAGATTTGCAGAAAGTATTTTCATTTCTCAGTTTTATGCTCTGAAATTTGGAATATTTTTAATCACTCAATGCAACTGAAACACTACATATGAGGAAAAAAAAGTTCCATAAAAGGTGTAGATGCTTGCAAAAGTCGTCAGGCTCCCAGCGTGACCTCACCTTCAGTCAATATTTGTTTTTCATGTAAAAACACATATTCAGCAATACTAAAAAAGCAAAACACACTAAACCAAATTAATTTACTATCGACCTACTATTCAATTGATACCTGATATTATAGAGGAACTGTTACATGAAACTGTCTCCCCTAGCAAAGTAAAAATGAAATCTTTAACCCTTTTTCCCCACAGGAAGGCACAGAGATCCTGTAGTGATAAATGCTGTACAAAGGTACCGTCAGGTTTGCCTACACATTACTCTATTTACTATTTAGGTATGCCATCTTAAAAGTTAAGTTCTTAAAAATGTTACACCTCCCTTTCCCCCACACTGTGGACACTGTTAGGACAACACAGAGATGTAGTCGTTTAGCAGTACGGTAGCTCTGCTGTGCCTTTCAATGCTTAAATCACTTAAGTACATAATAACAGTGTATCTGCCTTTAAACAATTTCAAATGGCTTTGAACATTTTTTTTTAAGCACACAAAGAACTGCGTGAATCAAAAAGGTATACTCGCATCTCAAAATATTCCCAATAATCACAACACCTTCTGCGTCCTACAGTGTTCCTATGCAATCCTTCTGAAAATTTACTGCTGCTGTTTGCTGTAAATCACACGAAGCAAACTCTAAAAGGTACAGTGAATAGTCAGGCACCTAACTCACACAGCCTTTCATTTGGCCCATGGCGCCTAACTTTTCTGGTCGATTCCCAGACTTGCAATCAGTTCAACTTCAGAGGACGTGAAAGTAATTTCACTTTTTTCTGTGTCTATTTCCCTATTTGCACAATGGGGACAAGACTCCTCAATCTCCCATGGATAATTAAAGAATAAAAAGCACTGCTTATGAAACGCTTCAATCACAAGTTTCAGAGAAATACAGAACTACTGTTGTGCCATAAGGAGTATCATCTTCATCAAAGCAACAGCATCTTCGAACAAAAAGTAGCATGTATTCAATGTATCTGATCCTCACTATAAAAATGCTTAGGGCATACCAGAAACCTATGCCACACACACAAAGCTGTGACCGAGATTTTTGTCTGCCCACACTTTATAAACTATCACTGCCTTCAAAGGCACTGCAAAGTAAAAACCTGCAACGAAACAAAACAAACCTCCCCAGTTCCAGTTCTCCTATTTTTTGGTGGAAGATTAATACACAATATCTAAATAGGGAATTACCCACACATGACAAAAATCCCCATTAAGTTTGTTTTCTTCAGTACAATAAAGTTACTGCACTCGTAAGGCCTAAAAGCACTAAAAAACCACCCAATTCCCACACAGAGAAGTAGCAACATAGTAGCCCTAAAAACTTTTAGCAACCTATCTAATTAGCTGCTGTACTTAGTGCCATATTGGGTGCAAGAGCTGCCAAGTCTACCCCCTCACTATTCCCTGCCAGGAAAAACTTTCAAAACTGCATTGATGTTATTTGACATAAAAAGTGAGCACATCTAGCCTTCTTGTTAAAAAAAGTAAGTTAGTTTTGTCCACAAACAGAAGGGCTGCCTTCTCAGATGAAGTTCCTCACTTCCAGCTGCTGAAATGACTCCTACCTAGGTACAGAAATGCCTCTGATGCTGCCATGAGAGGTGGGCTTTCTCTCCCTGCTCCCACCTCAGCACCAGCACAGCCAGCTCCTGGCATGCTGGGGAAAGCCCTGGCTTACAGACGCACACCAGTGCTTCCTCAAACTGCCAACCTGTCGTACTAGTCAAGGGTGACATGGTAAAATGCATGCATTTTTCTGTTTCTTTCTCACAGTCCTCGGTCCTTGAAGATCACACCTTCAGGAAAATTAGAGTTCTTAGTGCAAGTATGGGCACAGTTGCAGGGGGCAGAGGGGAGTCATATACGCTGTACAACAGTAATTCTTGAATCACAATCCATTCTACTAGCAGTAACAGCACAAATGTAAAAACCCTTGCAAGAAAGCTCACCTAGGAAGGATAAAACCAAAACCCTGCAACAATAACCCATCAGTGAAAACAAAATTTACAAAACAATCATCAGACATGACAAATTTCAAAGTTAAGTCACAGCTTCAGAAGGAATTAAAACATTTCACCATAGACAAAGTCACCTAGCTGCAGCAGGTTTCAAACTGCTTCAATTCTTCCTCTCCCTATAAACCCTTGCCTCACTCCAGTTTTTGCAAGCGAAAAATAGAAAACAGAATAGTGGTACAAACATTTGTCTTAAAAAATAGTTTCTCTAGTATCAATGGTGATGACTTCACATACTATTTTACCCTCTGTAATGAGCACTACAACTTCATAAAGAGGACATAACATCTTACATAGCCAGGACATGTAATGAGTAAGCTGTGACCTCATCGCAGGGCCTGATCAAATATGAAGATTGGGTACCACTCACAGTGTGCAGAAGAAACACAAGTCTTGATTTCATAAGAATGCTGGGAAATAAACACAGTTGGCTCACACATGCAAAATATCTTCTCAGAGAGTGGATGTGTGGCCACAAAGACAGCTAGACCCAGTAAAAGCACCAAAAGAACAAAGTGTTCCAGCTTTCATAGCTGCTGACCTCACGGAACTCATTTACAGCAGAGAAACATCATTGATTTCTGACCTCATCAGAGCACTGCTATTTGGCAGGCCTAAGGTAGCTGGATCACCTTGACTGTAAATTTCCATAGAGCTGAATTGCTTGTTCATTGGGACTATGCTATGAACTTTCTGGTTTCAAATTCTCTGTTATTTTCACTAACAACAGTTACCCACATAAAGATTTTCATACTTGGGTTAGAACAGCTCTGGTAATCAACAAAAGAGGGAAAACAACCTTCTTTCTAATCTGCTTTGTGTTGCCTGCCAAAAAAAAAAAAAAAGTCCTGACAAAATCAAAGTAGTATTCAAAAGCAAGTTTATCATATGTGAGTAACTCCCATTGCTGAGGTACTGTATGACCAATCTTTCAGCTTTCTGACTGGAAGAGCACAAAGGGAGTCCTAAACATACCACTACTGCAAAACCTCCAGAGAAACAGTCAAAAAGACCATCATCACTGTATTCACCTTGTTATCCTGTCAGCAGCATAAAGCTACGACAGCATTTTCCCTTCCTCTCCTCCCCCAGCAGATCACCACAGTCCTCCAAGACTCAACACACAAACAACATGTGCCTGAGAACGACTTCCACAGGTCAGCACTTTCTCGGAGACTCCCCCAGCCAGAAGATTCCTGGCTCTGCACAAACATGCTGGGAAAAGGCAACACTGATTTCTTGCTCCAGTTCCACTGTCCATGACCTTTTATTTTGGAGTACAGATCACAAGGTCGCATCCCAACCCCAACCAGATGGAAAGGCAAACCACTGCAGCTACCGACTCTTCCAGCTGGGAAGGCAACCACAAGTAATGCTATTCCCACAGCAGAAAAACACACTTCTGGTGGTAAGCTTAAATCTTTATTACTGGAAGGGAAACAATGTAAGAATATTTTTAGCTGCTAGTTCTATACCTTATTTACCAGTCTACACTGGCAATTACATAATCATTACATCTCACTCATGAACACAAATTATTATGGGTGTCTATTACTTCAGCCCAACTACTTCAGCAAGTAATTCCAGAAAACTCAATCTGACTAAGCCAGCACACTATGGGAACTCACAATTATGCCAAAATATTAAAGAGGCTGGGCATACTTCTTCGTCTTGTATTTTAGAACAATACACACACACACTGCAGCATCTGTGGCTGTCACTACTCACTAGAAAAAAGCACCCGTTTTGCACAAATATACACAAAAGAATTTTGTGACTTCCACTTCACGATTAACAATGGGAAATCCCAAAACCAAACTCCTGCCTCCTGTACAGCTTAAGTATAGTCAACTTATTTTAATCTTTAGATGCATTTTCCTCTCCTACTAGTAGTTTATGTATCTACACCAAGGAGGACTGTATTCTTCCCAGAATTAATACTTATAAAAATTCATTCCTGGCTATAAAAGACCCTTTTCCATATAACACCTCTGCATTTCTTAAAAAATGATTCATAGGAAAACACCAAAATCAACAAATCATTCTGTTCTCTAAGTCACTAAACAGTCACCAAGCAAGCAGCCCAGACCTTTTTCATGAAAGCATGACAAATGCTTAAGTCCAATCTGCTAGTATGGTTCATTAATAATACTGCATATTCCAAAAACACATGGTCTGATTCTCCTCTTATAAAAGAACTGATCCAGGAGTCCTTACAGAAATGCAACTACAGAAGTTGAGTGTGTGCAATAAATCTATAATCCAGCCTATTAGTAATCCATCAGCCCAACTGCTAACAATAAAATAACTGCAGAACCAGCCTAAAAGAATAAATACATAGATATGTACAGAAGTAACCATACTAATATATGGAAATAGTTTTCTTTTTTTAACATCCACAGTATGACTCATAAATTATCTGACAAAAGCAGGAAAAGTACTAATGCAATAGTTCCCTATGCACTAGTTCCAGGCAAATGGCCATTTCTTTTTCATACAGAAGACCCATAATTAACTTTGCTATTCCATCACACTGCTGCCACAACACCACAGACCTTATGCAAAGCGTGCTATCGATTTCAACCACAAACAGCCCAGGCTTTGTCACTTTTGTGTCTGACAAAGATCAATTTTTAGTAATGAGAGAGAAAGTGCAGAAGCACAAATAGAGGAACAGATATGGTAAAAACAGAAGACTGCCATCATCATCCCTACAGCTCCAAAGGGATGGGAGAAACATACGTGAATGGATTCCCTAAGAAACCAGGAAAAGTCTATATATTTGCACAAACACTAACATGGTAAATACAGATCAAATACCCTAGTAAGACACAACTCATGGCCAACAGGACTTATATTTATGCCTGTAAGAATCAAATTTGTTTGCTATAAAAATAGTTAATGAAAGTTCAGACCATACAACGAAAATACTTTTCAGTTCAAGCAAAACAGAGAAGCTCTTTGATGATATGTAAGCTGAATGCCTACGTATATCTATGCTTTATACAAGTTCTTTATCTAACTATGTGGACAAGTGAAACTGAAGTAATACAAATGTTGGTTTGGTGATTATTTCCTTTTTGAAGAGGGATGTTGCAAGTCGTCTGTTTTCCGTCATAATCGAACTAAAATGAATTCTTGAGTCAAAAAAGTTCCCAGGGAGCCAGGCGCTTTGTTCTGGCTAAGATTCCTGAATGAAAAGATTGTCTACATGCTCCTGTGACCATGCCTATTCAATATTATAAGCATATGTACATATTATGTAGGTGCATAATAAAAAAATACTCAAGCACATTGCTCTCTGAACAGGAAGTTAACGTGCAAAGCTTTTCAACTTGGCCGCAATGTTTTAACATGTGTACACACATTATGGAATACCCAACCCTAAGTAATACGAAAAGGGTTATTCTGTTGTCAGTGAGAAACTTTTTTCAGACTAATTCACAGTGAAATGTCAAAAAAGCCATTAATGCAAACCCATACTAGTGTTTCACTCAGTAAGAGTAACTTTCAGCTAGAACAGTAATAAAAATACAGAGAAAAAAAAAAAAAAAAAAAAACAAAAACCACCTTATGTATGTTTCAGAACTCACCCACGTTCGGTGGTTTCCCATAATTTACAGGTAGTTCGGGAGGCCGGCCCCTGTGAAGAGCTGCAAATGCAGATCCTTTCCATAGCGTATGTCTGAAGTCTGTACCGGCAAGATTAACAGCAGGTTAGTGAAACAATCAGCCAAACCAGGTCCAGCTGACCTATTCTTAGAATCAAGAGCATCAAGCACCACTCCCCGCATCCCAAAATGAAATTTTGTCTTTTTAAATAGTTTGTCAGAGATCTAACACTTAAAGGAGATTGCTACTCTGATTTCTAGTTCCTAAGCAATATAACGGTAAATGGTTTCAGCTTATTTTTGCTTCATCTTGGTGAGCAGGGAGCCTAAACTGACAGAAAGAAAAAGAGAATGGAAAAAAGGGGGTGCACTTTGTATTGAGACAAGATTGAACTTCAGCATGCTTTTAGTCCTTCGGCAATCCCAACACATACAGGAGCTCTTCTTATGAGCTGTACATTTGAGAATACACATACATGCACATGTTTGCTCCCTGAAAGTGGGAAAAGTGAGATTTTTTTTTCAATATATCTGTTTTCCTGCAATTGGTGGCAATATGCCCTTGTTTCAGATTCTCCTCTGCACCCCACCCCCCCAAAAAAATTGTTTTTAAAATGAAGACTGTTTTCTTTAAAGACTCTCCAGCTATCTGCTGCCAACTGGCCTCAGAGAGCCTTCTCTCTAGAACAATAGTGATTTTTCTGAGACTGTTCAGAGTGCCTCAGAAATTAGACCTGGACTTCTTCCATTTCTGGCCATCTGGAAAGAGAGAAATGAGCTTCCATGGTGAATAAGGACTGAAACAGAAGGACAGTGCCACAGATTGGTGGATCTGTGTATCACCCTTTAGATCTCTAAATATGAAGTGCACAAGCTTACGTGACTCAAAGAGACTCCCGAGAGCACCTTCTGATTAAAATCCAAACTGTACCACAGAGTATTACAACCATACACATTAAAAACAGCACTCATACTCTCTAAAATAGATCAAAATACCTATAAATACTAACGGTAAATGGAAACTTCATACTGATGCACAACTAGAGGGAGCAGAAATCCATGTATTTCAACTTTGAAAAAGGTATGCTGTTTCATATTAGTGAGCGTGGTTTACACACCAAATGGCACAATATCACAACACCTTTTTCTGAAGGGGAAAAAGCTGCACCATTAATCTAGTAGAAATCTCTTTGCAATGAATTTATCACACGGCTTAGGAAGCACTGCATCTTTCAGTGACTCATCTAGCCTCTGTCCCCTAATTCACCTAAGAAACTTCTGTTTCCCTGCACAAAAATGTTTATTTTCTCTTTACGTTTTGTTGCTGTTTTCTTCTAAGATGCAAACTGAATGTGAAATGAAGGAATGTTTCTCTGCAGACCTCCCTGCAAACCTCAAGTTCTCCACCCTGTTATAGCAAAGCATAGGCCAAACAAGACTCAGCCCCAAAACTTTGCGTAAGGAAATGTGTTTGCAAACAGCACATCCCTCCAGGTGATATCCAGTGGATCAGCAGAATGCTACAGTCCTTGTTAGCATCAGAGTGTGACTTCACAGCATGCAGTAAATTAAGTGCTCAACTGCCACTGAAACAGGAAGGTCCTGCTCTCCCATCCCTGCTCCTCTCCCAGAACGATGCTCCTGCTGCCTGTGCCACCTCCCGCACTCTGATCCTTCCAAAAGCTAATTTAATTCACTACAACAGCAATAACAAATTTTGCAACATTTTAGCTCTCTGAATCAGCACATCACAGGATCAAGTAAGTTCCGGCTCCTACAGGGACGAAGTGGCAGGGACGTGGAGTGAGGAGGAAAGGGAGGAACCACTCTTTTCAATAGCAGATGGCTCTCAGATCTGTTTAGTTTTAACACAAAACTGTGCTCTCAGGATCATTATCTCAAGCAGAGCAGTTTTTCAAAAGGAGTAGGACTGGTGCTCTATTCATGAAAGGAAAGGGGGCTTTCGTTCAAATTAACTTGAAGCAAGGACAAGCAGGAATTACCACGGAAGACTCAGTCTCGCCTTCTCCCACCCTCTAACTGCTGCCCCAAATGCCACCCTGCCCTTGAAGCCGACACAGCTGCCTGCGTGGCCAGGGAATCAAATAACAGGAAGAAATGGAACAAATCAGCCTGAAAAACAGCCCAGCAAAATATACAGACTGCTGGGTTATTTTAGACACAGGCATGTGTAAATGAAAAAAATGGCTGTATTTCAGATGGATCAAATCTCTAATCCAGTTCATCACACCATTTACACAAACACCAGTCCAGCACGCTGGGGAGGAGAGGAAGAGGAAGCAAGTAGCAGGATCAAGCAACTGTAGGCAAGAACTGCTTAAGATGGCATTTTCAACCAAGGAAACATGTATGTAACAGAGCCAGCAATAACTGCATTTTAGCAAGACTGCAGCAAGAAAGCTGACAGGCATAGGAGACAAACCAGGGTTCATGCAGATATACACAGACACCACAATATGAATCGAAACAAAAGGGGGTTTGATCATTAAAATAAAAGTCAATCACACAAATTGAGAATCTTACCTTTTGCGGCCCTTAATAGAGACTGGCGCCCGACACCTAGCAAAGTCTGCACACCTAGGACACTCTGTGGGATTTCCTTGTCTAAAAGGGGTCCAAGTCTCTCACAGATCCTAAGAAGATAATCCGGAGGGATGTGTGCATTGACAGCCACCTAAACATATAAATAACGCAGATGTTTGAATATTGTTTTATTCTTGCTTCTAGTGGTACTTCTCTGTTTGGCTCGTATTGAAGTGTTAAAGTTACTGAAATCAAGTCTAAACCCCCTGAAAACTCCCTCAAAATTAATTACACCAAAGATGTCTTTTAAAGTGACATGGAGCGTTGAAAAAGTCAGACCAGAAATTTCAGGTGGTAGTAGCTACAGTCGTGATTTAGGATACCCCTTAATAACAAACAAAAACCCCTGAAACTCAAGAGTTCCCAGTGCAGTACTCTGATCAAACAAAGTACTGCCTGGGGAGTTTTTTAAGCCTTTTTTACCCTTCAGTTCATTCTTTTCACATTTCTTGCTTAGCTGAAACACCCTTGCCAGACGCTCACATTATTGTAAGAAGCACACGTGCTAAAGCCTAAAACCACTAAACATTATCCGAATAGCAACACCCAGTCTCCAGTTTTTAGCTCCTGGGAGTAGGTGTCTTGAAGACCCACACATGTAGGCTCCTAATTTGTCATGTCAAGAAAACATTCTTCTTTTTTCCCTTTAGATCGAGACTGTTTTCTATGGAGAGACAATAGTTTTTCTGACAGTCTGTTCAAATAGCAACTAAACTGTGCTTCATCATCCAGAATGCCCTGCACTTGCCTGACTTTTACTATATTTACTAGCTGCCATCAAAAACCCAACATCAGAGCTTACTTAGCCCCTTTGACACAGGACATACAGCTACACCCATCTCCTTTTTAAAGATCGACAGTAACACGTCACTCAGCTCTTAAGTACCTGCGATGGACGATGGAAAGAATAGTTGCGTTAGAACTATTTACAACGTTTGTATCTGTTGCAATATTATGAAGAAAGAGTTTGTCATAAACCAGTTTTTTTGTTTTACCAAGCCACAAACTAATGCCAAATAATACTAAAGCTGACCTGAAAGGGCCAGAACAGTGGTCATTGTAAAGAAATAATAGCAGACATGTGCCTGCACACACCCCTCTCTCCTGCATGACCACTTCATATGTGTCCAGTGACAGGGCAGTTCCCTCCTGGTGGGATAGGGCAAGTTTTTGTGCAGCTGCAGTGAGCCAGAATGATTCGCCAGCTGGGCTAAAACCACAACCAAGCTCCCCTCTGCATCAGCTCCGGCACTCATCAACTGCGGAGGGAACTGTTTCAGCTCCCCTGGCTAGGAACGCTCACCCGGCAAAAGAAGGGAAAGGTTTTCTGCCAGGTTTAGCAAAGCTGACTGTGATTCAGGGAAGCGTCAGAGCTGGTGGAAAGGAAGGAACAGGACCACTTCTTTCAACAGCAGAGCATCATCTGATAGGCCCAGGTATCCTGCCTACCCAGACCCCAAGGATATGCCCAGCTCCTGCCCCAGCACACCGGAGGGAGTGGCACACATCGGGAAGGAGGAAAAGGTAAGTACTTCACTCAGACCTGCTGCCAAAACATTGTTCGCTGAACTATGTCATCAAACAGATTATTACTACTTGTCATTGGGAAATCGTTCGTTCCAATTGGGCAACAGCAGTGGTGCTACGGGGCTCAAGGCAGTGAGTCATGTGCTGTATAATGTAATCACCTGCACCTCAAGCAGGATCAACACCATCCCACAAATAAGATTTTAAATTTAAAAAAAAAAAAAAAAAAGGAAAGGCTTTTCTAATGATATATACAAATTATCATTTCATTAAAGCCAACCACAAAACTCTTCCAATCCAAATGGAATCTCTTAAGAAGAGAGACAGGCTTCTCCACACATCCTTTCAGTCACTGCATGTTAAAGATATGGCTCTGGCCTTTTGATGGAAACAGAAGAATTGTACCTCTGCAGGAAAGATAAACCTGATGACTGCATTAACATGGTCCCATTCCATGACTTTTCATACTGTGAGCGTCAAGGAATGACCCCATGATTGCTCTCTTGCACTGATTGGTTTCTCCAGCCATTCTAACTTCTCCCCCACCCCGACCCAAAATCAGAGTTCCAAAATTATATTGGTACCTTCCCAATTGTACAGCCAGTGAAGTTTGGTGTATAAGCATGCATTGTCTTTCATTGTAAATTACATGATATAACACAAGTCAAAACGAGATAAAAGGATTATCCGAACTTTTGTATTTGCCTATTGTTCTTAAGTCATTCCTGAAATATTATAAGTGTGTTAAAGCTACAAATTATTTTATTATCCTGCATTAGCCTCCCTTCAGTATGTAAGGGATCTGAGAGGATCTGAAGCAAATGCAAATCTAAAGAGAGAATCTGTAATTTAATAAAATCTGAGTACGAAATTCTTTTTTTACATCTCTGATAATTAGTAACATGCTTCTCGGTCAACAACTGCCAATTCTAGCAATTTATCAAGCTTAAGATTAAAAGATTAAAAAGAGTAACCAATCCAGAAGCTGTGGAATTTTACATTTTGCTTCTAGGGTAGGAAAAACCTAAACCATATCACTCTCTGGAAATATAAAATTTCACAGAAAGCCCAAACCGTTCTCCTAGTGTAATGCAGCAAATCAATCATCAGAGTTAAATTGGCACAAGTGAGCTGCTGAAGCATCTAGATTTTAGCGCATGGTTTTATTTGATTGTAAACTTTTCTAAGCGACATTTAACATGGAGCATATCGCACAGACCAGGCAGGTATCAAAGTGACCATTCACTTTACTAACATGCCCTACTCACCAGATTTGCCACCTGCAATCAGAACCACGCCATACTACAGAAGAAAGGCTGTACCATACTTCTTTCCCTGCACACTTTCATGTTTCTACAAGACAGAACAGCCCAAACAAGTGGCCCTTAATCTGAATATTATCACTGTTGTTATCACCAAACAGCTACATAGGCAGGCAGCAATAGCAGCAAACTCTCCTGGAGATTTTTTTCCATAACTTCCAGATAAAATGCTTAAACTGCAGCCCAGAGCAAAACAAGCAATTCTATTTTCAGGTTCCCAAAAGAACTTCAAACAAAAATCCTTCCCTTCACCTCTGCATGAGATAGCTGTAAATGGATTTTAAGTATCCTTCCAAGACATGAAGCTGCAAACATGCAGCTGAGAAAAACAAAGTCTCCCAAACCAGATTTTCATTAAACGAAGGATGGGAAAAGGCAAAGCTCAGCATCAGTTGTAGCCATGCCTCTTAGTGTATGCTAGTCCAAACCCCATATGGCAAAATTAACCAACGGCAAGGGTATTATCACCCCCTCAAATACATTAGAAAATGTTTTTAGAATATTAGAAAATATTTTAGAAAGTTATTAGAAAATTAGAAAAAATTAGAGACAAGTAATACAGGCCAAAACCATGCTTAACAAGAGCTTTCAAAAGAGCATGTTAAAATAACGCAGAAGGGCTGAAAAAGTTCTAAGGGAGAGCAAGTTCTGCACCCTGGGATAAACTATTAAGAAAAAAATGTTTTGTTGCCTTAAGATCTGAAGGACCCTGTAAAGGTTAAAATGTGAGAACACAAGAATGCCACAGCACCACAGAAGAGTCCTCTGATGCAGTAACCATACAGGTCTTATGGATCTAAAAACTTTCAAGATTTGGGCAAAGCGAATCCCTTCTTTAAAAATAAAAAAAATCTACATAAACAACCATGGGTGAATGTAACGCAGTCATGACTGCTTGAACTGGTATATGCAAATAAGTTGCTACAGTGATAAGCAGCTGCAAATAAAGAACTATTAGTGAAGTCACGCCAGGGCTAGGAGAAAGTCATACCCCTAAACCTGTTTATGCTTCTGTTGTTGGAGCATTACCATGTAATCTTAAAGACTACTGAGCAAAGGGTCCTCACTGGGCAGCTAAGACCACAGGCAAGAAGCTTGTTGATCCCTGAAACAAACAAAGAAAATTCCCTGGTATGACTGCCAACAATTTCTCCTCCAAGGAAGGTTTCAATAAACAGGAAACAAACAAACAAAAAAGACTCTTTGTGATTACTACTTATAATAAGATGTCTGTCTTCCCAGGGATTGGAACCAGATAGCTCTGAAACACCTCTTTTGGGAAGCCCAGTGAAACATTGCTTCAAAGCACAGACTAAACTTGATGCAAGAGCTGCATAATGGAAGCAACACAGGCAGCAACGCAGACCTTCGAAGACGCCTTCGTACCCAGTCCCATGTGGGCAGGCAGGCAGTTGTGCATCAGCAGCAGATTTCTAACCTCTACGCAGTCGTAGGACACTTCTCTCATTTGCCAAAATAACAATCAATTAAGAATCAATTGACAACTGTATCAAGAAGCAGCAGAGGAGGCCAAGAGGACCAAGGCAGCTGACCAAGCAGGAAGTTACTCAACACCTCAAATATGGAATCTCAGCAAAAGAAAGCTGATACCGGACTTGCACAAGATGCCAACAATATGCAAATACACATGAATTTAAAATGCCATTATCCACTCGGTTTCCCCAGAGAGAACAGGTTGGAACTACCATGCTACCAGATGACATTTTCCCGAGGTGACAAAACCGTAACATCTCTCTGCTGCTAATGCTGGGATTGGCAATATCTATAAATAACAGCACCTCAGACTCATAGCTAGTTTTAGATCAATGCAGATGGGTAAGGCAGAAACTCAAAGCCAAAGCCAATAAGCTGTTCCACACCAGCACAGCCGTTCAGGGATGCAAACTCTCCACTGTCCAACAATAGCTGATTTTCTGTTTTTCCTGAAATTATACTTATCTTCAGCACCAAGACCAAAGTGGGCTGAGCCAGAAGAGACAGCCCATCAAAAAGTTCTTGAAAACCAGACCAGAGGCAGTCATCTTTATCAGGAACAAAGAAAGAAAATTTCAAAGGGCAGGCCACTGGAGACTGCTCTGATAATCTGAGTCGGTTCAGCTTGACTTGTCTGTACAACTGCTGACTCCGCACTGAACTGCTACGGTTAATTTAAAATAGGAGTACTAACTGCGTGCAAGTTTGACATACTTCAGGCCTTCATAAGTAGAGCGAGAACCCTCCCCTTTACAAACACGTTTCATGTCTCAAGACCACCGGCTGTCAGTAACAAAGTAAAAACCGCTCTGGAGTACACCTGGACAATTACCTAGACAGGCAGCCACATGCTGCACATAAAAAGTACTCCAAAGTAGAAATAAGCGGAAAAGACAAAGGGAACACAAATGCACATAAACTAGTATTCTCTGTGTGGTTTTGCTCGCTAGGTACGATTCTTATTAGTGTGTCTTAAATTACTCTTCTGCCTTGCGGTACCTGACATTTAAAGTAAAAGACCAAATTCAAATAAAAAAAGAAAAAGAAATCTCAACAGAGAGTTTTCAGATCTTGACTAAAAGCTCGAGTGAAGTGGGAGTAAACATTCCCTAGATAAAAGTCACCTAGTAGGCGATTTGGTTGTTACATCTTCACCGTTTCCAAAAGCCCCAAGAGCAATAACAACATACTCAATAGCAAGAGTATCGGTCTATTTTCTGAAAAATACCAACGCTAACCTGAACAGTCAAACTGAGAATGGAAAACAAAGTTGAAACCTCAGCAATTAGAGCAAGGAATACTTTGTCAGATTGGCCAAAGCAGAATACTGGGCAAACAAAGAAAAAAAAAAAATCAGACTTCTCTGGGTTTTTAACTCTCATTGGGTTCAATTATCTCAGGCCTGCCTGACCAGTGTAGTTGCAACACTAGGCAGAGATTGTAACTGAATTTGGTTTTCTGTCTGTAAGTGTTGAAAAAGGAGAAACGGGTAGAAAAACACTTTATCTCCAATCGCTAGCATCTGTAATTTATTTTTAGTTCATTATGTGACTGAGATAACCGAAATGAAGGTCAGAGTTATTTGTGTTCTTCACAACCCTGGCCTTGTTCTAAACCAGACGTTCAGACATCTAGCTAGCCCTGAAGTCGAGTAGTTTGGGTTAATATACAATCATCTGCACCCAAGGTCCAAATTCCAAATACATCAGAGACCCCAAGCAAGGAGAGGAAAAAAGGTCTTTCTTCAACATCCTCAACAGTGAAAGCTTCAGTCTGACGATTAATAGAGAGAAGCTCAGTTCATCCTACCCAGCACCAACCTGTCTCACTGTAACGATTCCTTTAGAGTCCTGTTCCTTACTGTAAATGATGTTAAACAGTTAAATAACCAGAAAAAAAAAGGCAATCTAAAAGGACTGATTACTGTTGATTAGTTTAAGATGGAATGAAAAAAATCTTATACTTATTTTTGATAATTCTATACAGCGAGAAGCAATTTCTCATTAACTCCAAGACTCGCTTTACACCAGTTTGCTTCCCGTTTCTGAAATTTCAAAGAAAAGGACACAGCTTCAACAATGCTATCTAATACACAGAAAGAAGGGTTTAAAGCTTTTCTATCTGTGCCCCATAGAATTAATGGAAAAAATGTATACGTTAATGTAACTGATTAAGCAAAACCAGTATGTCTGAAACCAGACTTCATGCTGCCACTGTTAATATTCCTCTTGGGTACCGGGTGCAGTCACAAGCTAAGCCTGAAACAGCCTATAGTTAGATTTCAGGTTCTCAAGGAAGACTGTACAGCATTAAAATTTATTGAATGCAGTACTTACTCCGTGTCTGTTCACTCAATATACAGTCCCAGAATTATCCACAAGAGGTATGATGAAGCATAACATTCTTCTTAAATTCTTAATACACTTTGGAAAGGGAAAGCCAGCAGGTACAAACGTCTCATCTTGATGCAAGGAGCTCTCCCATCTGCATCTGAGCTCCTACAATATTGCTAGAGTGGAAAACTGACTCTTGAGCAAGCTACAAAGCAGTTTGAGCAACAGCGATGTCAAAATCCCACATCACCATTGCACTGTGCGAGATGGTACTTTCAATTCCTTCCAGGTGGGGAGATAGTGATGATCAAACATACGTGGTTTATCAATATTATAAAAGCTATTAGTAAGTTTACAGCATTCCAACTGCTAAATCACCGCCATACGTGATTACCCAGAGCTCCTAGAAATGAAAACAAGGCCATCCGCACCCTTTGGAAACAAATCAAAATGACTTTTCGGTCCCGCTGCTTTCACGCGGAGGCCGGTAAGAACACGCGCATCTCTGGGCCCCCCCACGAGAGAAGGGCCATCCCCACGCAGCCGGCCCCTTGGCAGCGCGGAGGGAAGCTGACCTTTCTCAATGACAGATATTCCCATGGTTTGTATCTAGCAAACGCAGCCACTCCACATATTTCACAGCCGTTTAATAGTTTCAACGTCACATTT